TGTTTATATTTATTTACAACACAAGTCAAAGATGAGCACAAAAACACGACAGACAGCATTTGTTGAGATTTTTTAACAAGAGGAATTATGCATAATAACTGAAAGAGTTAGTCATTGTATCGAAATCACAATATGGTCATCTCTTGCACAAATCTTACACTACCCCATCACTGTTGGTCATTCTATAAGAAAAATAGGGAAGTTATTAATTTGGCATAACCAACTCTCTACACTTTGATAAAGCTATAAAGATCACATATTATACAAAACTATGCCAGTTCTAAATGAAATTTTTTTGTGAGAAATTATTGAGAGCGAAAGAGAATAGCTCATGACAGTACGTAACGAAACAACAATAAATTAGCCAAATTTCAGGACAGTTCTCTTGTGCTAAATTAAATGGGATCCCGTAGGTAATTGTAATGGGAAAATTTTCGAAACTTTTAGGCGAACGTGCTTACCTGCCTAAAGTAAAAGTAAAATAAACACCTGGTATATGACATGTAGTCACTTTACAATGTTCACAGCTTTAGTACCAGGTAAGCAAATTTACATCTAGTCATTGTTTTCTTTCAGCGTACTTAGGATATTTTTTACAACAACACTTTTAGTTCTTTTCCTTCTCTATTCTTACCAACAGCTAGAAGTTCAAATCTATTTGAGATAGTTACCCGCTTTTTAACCTAGATCTTCTTCCACTAAGCCACATAACTTCGCTGATTTCCTCTAACTGTATCTATATATATAACCGTTTAAGGATAAACAGGTAATAAAATAGCTAACACTGAATTAAAGGTGCGGACAAAATAAAATCACCTTTATTGTTTGATAATGGGAATTTTTCTAAATATATATATATACATTTTGTTTTTCTAAATTAAGCCTTTGTATTCCGTATTAGAAAAGTAGAACTGTCTTAGCTGAAGATGACTCCTATCTTGCCAAAATTTACGTTTTTGTCCCCTAGTCGAACTATTCTCGCCGTTAAGTATGAAAACATATGATGCGTCAACATCATCAGTTCCATTTACAATCATAAACACCTCAATGAGATCCCCTCTAACTTTTCTTTTTTTCAAGAGAAAACAATTTCAGAGCCCATCCCAAGCACCATGCTAGTAATCCTCCTCTGAACCCTTTCAAACAATTCAATTCAATACTCCAAATGTGACCTATACAGTTAGGTTATAACCTCTTTAGCTGTATTTCTGTACATACAACCTAAAATCCTATTTGCACTAGCACTAGCAAATGTTCGTTTCTTTGATGGTTTAAGAGACCGATCAACCATTACACCAAGATCCCTTTCTTCCATGACACTGTTAAGGTATTTCCCAACCAAATAATATTTATAATTCAAATAATGATAACCCACATGCATTATCTTGCATTTATTATAATTAAAAGCCATCTGCCATTTATTTGCCCAACTGACTAAATGATCTAAATACTTTTGAAAAGCAGCAGCGTCCCCTTTACAGCTGCCAACACCCAATACCTTAATATCATCAGAAATTTTAAGTAATTCATTGACCATTCCTCCATATATGTCATCAATGTGAATCTTGAGGTACCCCACATATAACATTAATTCAATTTAACTGAACTTCCTTTATAACAAACCTCCGCTTTCTTCAATTCAGACACACTTCTATTCAATTAGTTAAATTATCCCCCACTTATAGAAATAATTTTTACAAGCCTTTTATGTGACACTTTTCAAATGCTATCTGAAAATCCATATACACCAAATTTACATCCTTACCCTCATATACATAAACAGTAACCTTTTCAAAGAATGTCAAAATATTTGTAAGACAAGCCTTTAGTGAAACCATGTTGATTATCCAATAAAATTCTAAACTTTGTTAACTGACTTTGCAAAGCATCTTTTATCAGACTTTCCCAAACTTTTCCAACAACTGATGTAAAACTATAATTATTGGTACAACTTTTATCGCCTCCCTTAAAATAGAAGTGGCATTACCTAATTTCAAATACTTTGGTACCTGCCTATTACTCAAGGACTTACAAAAAATAGTAGCAAGTGGCTCTGTCAGGTTTTATGTATGGGCCCGTGTTCTTTACAGTAGGTGACTGTGACTTGTTGGCAATAAATTTCAACAATAAACAAACAACACACAGTTCACTTGTTTTAAAATGATATATATTAAAACAAATCAAACGTATGTACAAATGTTCGTTACACTGTTGGTTATCACAGTTGTATCCAGAGTTTTAAATAATTGTTTCTTTTTCGTCAAGGTCCCACAAGCTGGTTTATTTACTTCAAAACACAATTGAGAAGAAAAATTATTTTCTGTACTTTGTTATTACAATACAATCTGTGATAATTTCACTTTAAAAATTACATCTACACATTCTTTATGGCTAAAATCACAATCAAACAATCTAGATCTATCTATCTAACTAACTATCTCGAACTACATTTTAGAGACGTATTTATAGCCTGACAGAGGCCTAGAACGTTCCACACATACGAAGTATTATGAAGCAATGATACTCAATTAAAATAACGAGAAAAACATAGAAGGTTTTAGTAACATGACGCAATAACATAACAATTGCCAGTTCACAACAATTGAACTATTCAACGTATGATTCGAAAACAGTTACGTTAACAAACCTACGTTAAACTATCACTTCTAAAAATAACTAAATTTAACACTCGCTCTATACTTAAATTAGCAGAATCATAACTTTGGCATTAAACTTAAAGTGTCGTGTATATCTAATAGGCTCACATTTCCAATCTTTAATCTTCTTCCAAATCCTTGGGGAAATATTTTCGGGCCCAGGAGCCTTATCGTTTTTTAAACTTCCTAATTTTTTCTTAAGAAGCTCAGAATTAATGCAACTATCATGTTCGACCTTGTTTCTATCTATCAACTATCAAGGTGAGTAATACTGTTTAAATCTTCATTAGTAAAAACTGAAGGAAAATTAGAATTTAATAACCTAGCTATCGGATACAATCCTTCATTTATCATCCCTCAAGAGTCCTACCCCATCCTAACATTTGTTTACCCTTAATGTATTTAAAGTATTTTTAGTATTAATCGAACCTTTTTTCATACATCTTTTCTGATGTCCTAATTTTCTGTTTGACCAACTTTCTTGATCTTCTATAATCTTCTAACTATCCTGTCTTACCAGTCAATTTAAGTTTCTTAAATTTGTGATGCTTTTCTATAATTTTATCTCTTGTACTCTTTGTGAGCCAACCTGGTTTTTTTACTTGCAGCCACCCTTTTATTTCTATAAACGGTGGATAAAGTGTATGGATTAGTAAGCTGAGTAATTTACTTATGATTAGAGGCTGGATCATATTCCAGTAATATATTTGAAGTTTCATTAGTTGATATTCCTTTACTTAGAAACTTAGTTAGAATGAAAATAAATTTTTGGCAAAAGCTGATAATCTTTAATATGTTTGAAGGAAATGACGTTTATTTTCCATTTTTGAATGAAACCTCAACCTTTTGAAGTCACGCATAAGTTTTGTAGATATATAATGCACTTTTGTGGAAAATGTAATGTTACATTTTTTACATAACTTTACTTGTGGCCATGTTTATTTTCTTTGATTTTTTTCAAAAAATTTACCTTTTATGTTTACCCCTGCCGCTCAGTTTACAATCTAGGGCTTATAACGCTAAAAGTCGGTTTTCAATACCTGCAGTGGGCAGAAAAAATATAACCCATTGTGTAGAACTTTATGTTTAACAACAAAAAAAATGTTGTTCTCTTAATTCTACATTATTGGGCCTGGTACAAGCTCTAGGTCAGGAGTTCTAATTCCATCATCGAACAGGTTCGCCCTTTCACCATTGGGACGTTATAATGTAATGGTCAATCTCACTGTTCGTTGGTAAAGAGTAACCCACGAATTGGTGGTGGGTGATATTGACTAGCTGCCTTCCCTCTAATTCAGCTATTACTTCTTAAATAGGGACGGCTAGTGCAGAAAGACCTCCAGTAGTTTTGTGTAAATCTTAAAAAACAAACAAACCGTGATGGTTCAGGTTTAAATTCTGTATCATAATGACCATATGTGTTTTGCAATATACATAAAAAGGACTAGGTGAAATCATCAAAGTGACTTAATAAAGAAACCAGACCAATGAAAATATACCTCATCATATCCATAAAATTATTCATAAACAACTTTGAAAACTAATTTTACGACAGCGCAGGTCACGTGACGCTAGTAACACGTCATCTTTTCGAACGTTCACGTCCCTTCCTGAAATCTCGAGAGCCTACTAGATATGCAGTAGTCTTATATATATAAACCGTTAAGAACTGACGGCAAGGTAATGTAATGCGTAATTGAACTGCGGACAGAGTATTGTTGAGCACGTGAGACGTTCGTTGTGAATTAGAGCGTTTGTTATAGCGCGACTGTTGAAATTAAGTGTATCGCAAAGTTGTATTCAGAAAGAATAAACCAGTTTTATTTAAGAAAGGACTTGAATCGGTAAAGTTTCTTCGGAAAGAATTTTTACGGAAAATTATTTAACGACCAGAGACGTAACACTAATATGAAAAGTTGACTTTGCTTTTGCCTTAAAATATTTGAAACACCAATTTTAATAAAAGCTAATTAGAAAGATAAATGAAAAATTAATAAATTTGTATGTGGAAATAAATTAATTCCCTTCACTTTATCATTACTAGAATCTGAAATTTCATTTTAAATGATCTTATAATAGCAACACATATTATTAATTAAAACTAGCCAGTATACTATCCTTATTCGATTTCTGTTATTTCAAGATTCCCCCCGCTGGGAAAACGGTAAGTTTAGGGGTTTACAAAGCTAAAATCCGGAGCTCGATTCCCAGCGGGAGACACAGCAAATAGCCCAATGTGGCTTTGTTCCAAACGAACAAAGAAATAAATTCAAAACTAAAATTTGACATTAAATACAATATTACTAGCAATACCCTGGTGCGCTTAAAAAGAAACAACAAAGTAATATTTCATTTGTCAGTGAAATAAATAGCAACATTAGGTTTCGACTTTGTACAGTAATATTTTTGAAACTAGTAATTGTACTTTTGTAAGTCTGTGGAAATTATAAAATTAAAAGTGAATACCTTAAACTTGTGGTTACATTTAGGTTAAAAGTGTGGTAAGTGACTGATATAAGTTATAAAATGTACAATAACAATATAAGTATAATATAACTATTTTTTATGTTTGTAACTTGTAAATACATTATTTTTCTTTTTTTGACTAAATAAGTGTGTATCAGTACCACATAGTCATGGTGGTGACATTAATTATTATTATAATTTGGTGGTAACCTGCTTAAATTGTGACTTCATAAGTTCATCATCATGCTACTTATGATTTATAATCAAATTTGAAAATGATGGATAAAGTGTATGGATTAGCAAGCTGAATAATTAACTTATTCAAAGTATTATACTGGTAATGATAGTTGTTAGCTCTGTATTTGACCACTGTAAAATTTTTTGAAACATTTTGAAAACTGATTTCATTGGGTGGATATTACATTTGCAAGTTGCAGTTGAGCTCAGAACTAATAGTAATACTATAGTAATAGTACTTATGAAATGTAAGACTGATTGTCATTGTCAATGGAACATGCAAGTTGTGTAAGCAATTTCCATATCTCAGTCATTTTATATTTTATACTAGATTAATTTTTTGATTCAAGCTTGGTAGCTTTAGTGCAGTTAATTTATCAACTGTAAATGATTAACTGTTGTAAATTGAGAAATGCTATACAATGTGTATCTGTTCATAATTTGTGTGAAACATAATGTTTAAGGGATAACAAGGGCCTGTTGGTCCATCGAAGCCATCCCATCTACATAAAAAAGCAACAAAAGAACTCAACTCCATCCCCGATCATTTAAATATTTATTGAGTTTTCCCTTTAACTCTTTCAAATTTACAACATCAAGCTTATCTGAAAGAAGTCTATTCCAAAGACCAACCACCCTGTTCAATAAGTAAAACTGTCTAAGCTGAAGATGACTTTATCCTGTCAAAATTTATATTTGTGTCTTCTTGTTCTACCGTTCTCACAGTTAAATATGAATAAAAATGATGCATCAATACTATAAGTTTCCTTAATAATTTTGAACACCTAAATCAGATTCCCTCTAACTCATCTTTCTTAAAAATAATCATTTTCAGAGATTTTAACCTGTCCTTAGTTGCCATCATTTCTACCCCTCTTTAGGCTTTTATTTGTATTTCTGTAGATACAACCTAAAATCCTGTTTGCCCTACCACTACCAGTAGCACACTGCTCGGATTGTTTAAGATACTGCCTAACTAGAACACCAAGTTTTTCTTCCATAATGCTGTTAAAGTTATTCCTATCAAAATGATACTTATAATTCAGATTATGATATCCAACATGTATTAATTTGAATTTATTATAATTAAAAGCCATCTGCCATTTATTTGCCCAACACACTAAGAACTAAACCATTTTGTAAAGCAGCAGCATCCCTCTCACAGCCAGCAACACCCAAGACTGTTTAAATCTTCTTTAGTAAAAACTGAAGAAAAAGAAAAACTTAGTAACCTAGCCATCTTATAATTGTTAGAAATATGCTTTCTGTTATCATCTATCAAAGGCTTTACTCTCATCTTAACATTTTGCATACCCTTTATGTATTTAAAAAAAAAATCCTTACTATTAGTTTTTACATTTTCATGTTCTATTCTATTCTAAAGTTCTCTAAGTCTTCTGTCATGGCAGTCTTATTTAAATTTCTTCAGTTTGTAATGATTTTTAAAAATATCATCTTTTATATTCATAGTAATCCAACCTGGTCTTTTACTTGCAGCCACCCTTTATTTTTATAAGAAACACACCTGTTTTAGATTTTTTCAAATGTATTAAAAAAAATTCCACATCTGACCAGCATCTCCATTGAATTCAGTAACCTGATTCATAATAGACAGTTCTTGTATTCCTTCAGGATATGCTTTCTTAAAATTTGTAACCAATAAATCTAAAAAAGCATTGTTTAGAGTAGAAGAAAACTATCCTGAATGGCTTATAAAAACATATTTTCTTCACACTTCAACTATAAAGTCTCCCAGTATATATGCCTGAAATTAAAATCCCTTACAATTATAACCTCATTAATTGCTGTAAGCTTAATCTCATCCCTCTAAAGTTTCTAATTAATTTTATCAGATGGTCTATAACAAATTTTAAATGGATTCAACCTTGTTACTGTTATCTTTGATATTCTCATTGTCAAAAGGATATGTAATTCACATTTTACATATAAATCCACTTTAACCATCTTTTTATTACTCTTATCTGTATTGAGCAAACTATACTGCAAAATAAAAGTTCTGTTATGAAAATTGTTTACATCTAGCTAGTCTCGGTTATTCCTGTAATATCAAAATCCTCCATTCCAACAAGTGCTCTGATCCTTTATTTTATATCCAATATTTCTAGCCATACAATAGTAACAATTTAGCCTACCCTTAAAGCTAATTCTATACTTTTGATAGAACAGCATTTGTTATGGTGGGAATGCATTTTATAAGCTGGTGAAGCATGATTAAAATTTTTCTTGTCATAAGACATTAGTATTAAGCCTATCACATTTTTAAACATTACATTCTTTATCTAGTCTAACAAATCTGACAATAAGTCTTATCATCCATTATTTTACAAGTGAATTTTATATTCTTGTAAGCTATTAACATATTCTTCATTTATTAGAAGAATCTTCCCTAGCAAGATCTTTCACGTGCTGAGTGAGAAATCAGTTGCTTCCACAGCATCAAGTCATTCTTCAATCATATGCATTAGCTAACCTAGTGAAGTTCTGTGAAATTTAAAGTCTTCAGTAGTAATAATAAGCCATTTGATTGGTAACATAATTAACCTACTTGTACTTATTGATATCAGTATTAACAAGTAGTCTGTAAAAAATGACAAATATTTTTTAAGAACTTCTGCCTAGTCACACTGTACATGTTTCCAACATCAATGATATTAGCTTTCTTCTCATTTCTTATAAGACATAATTATTCATCCTTTCCTTTTATTTTACCAGTCTAAAAATAACATCTTTGAATTATTTATTTAACTACTATTAGAGCTTTTACTTTTAGCAACTTATAATAAATACTTTTGTGTGTTAGCATAAATAAAATTAAGCTTATTCTGAAGTTCCATATCAGTATCATCAATTTAATATTCACCGTGCGGCTTCCATAATCTATGACAAAATCTCTGAAGGGTAAAGAAACTGCTCAAATACATTAATTCTTATACCTGTCATATTCATAAGATTGCTTTCCTATCATTTAACGTGGTTTACTTACAAAGCTGCATGTATTTGTTGTTTGAGATATATCCTTTATAATCTCTTATTTAATCCTTACAAGCTGTTTGTATTACATTTGTTGTAATAACAAGTAGATAACTACATAATAGTTTCATCCTTAAAGATTAGAAATAATGTAGTTCTATGTACCTCTACCCTGGTTAATAACTTCAGATCTTTCATTTCTAAAAATCAATAGCTCAAGCATGAACAACAAAGATTCCAGTTGGAAACAATTTCCATTAATCACCACCTTATTATTCTATTAATAATTTTGTGTCCACTCTTTAACTTCCACCATTTCCAGCTAGAACTCAATAGAAGAGTAAAACCAGATGTCTGACTGTAGTATTTCTATGCTGTCTCTTATGTACATGTGAAAATTTTTCTCATTCTTAACTCTGTTCGGAATATTGATATGGAAGCCTTATCAAAACTAGTATCTTGTAGAACCTTATAATGCATCTTAGTGGAAATATACAGTTTTGTGTGTACCATTTACTATAAACATTCATCAGACTCAAATACATGTATATGTAGAATACTTTTATCAGAAAACTTGTTAAATGTGCTGTTTTGATTTGTCTTAGGGCAGTAATGACAGAAGACAGTTCTAAGGAGGTTAGTATCCAAATCCATCCTCTTACCCATAATCCATCAGAAGCATGGGAGGAACTGAAAAATGTACAGATTGTTAAAAAAGTCTATCCACTTCCTCTTAATATGCCAGTCAGCTCAAAAGCTGTTCGTTTTGTGTGTATGTCTGACACACATTCTCTCACATCTCACCTGAAATTTCCTATTCCTCCAGGCGATGTATTCATTCATGCTGGGGACTTTACAAGACATGGCTTGCTAAATGAAATCAAAGAATTTAACAAGTTTTGGTAAGTTCTCTAAAATAGTATATTTTCATAATATATATATATATATATATATATATATATATATATATATATACAATGTTGTAAGAATATGAACTAGGAAACTTATGAAAATACAAAGTATCGGTGAAAGATCAGTACTAAAAGTTGAATGGTTTAATGCTTTTAATACAGCTTGCATGATATTGTGTGTGTGTGGTGGGAATCCCAAAAATAGACTGTAAGTTATAAAAGATATTAAAACTATGATGAGAATATTAAGTGTATTACATAGTATCAGGTATTGATAGTATAGTTTTCCATAGCTTATGCATATATATATAGAAATAAGCAACCTTAGCTCGTAATTCTTAAGAAAAACAGAGGCATTAAATAGTAAAATGTAAAATAGGGGTACTCTTTGGATTGATTGATCCAACTTTACACTAAAACATTATCTTTGGTAAATAATTAATATGAACAAACTTAAGTTGAAACATTTCATAATGTACATGTATATCATACTAAGTGTACATTTCTGTCATACAATTGTGTAGTCTATGCAGGACAAGTTTAATCAACTTATAAGCATTGAAGTTTACATCTGTATATTTAATTACCCAGTAGTTTCATGATGTCACTGTATACAATCACATAAATTTTGATTAGATTTTTATAACTAAGTTATACAGAAATGTATAAAAATAATCACAGTACTCCAGAAATAATTAATTTGATCAATCCAATGTTTCACCATGGCTTTATCAGGGATCTTACATAACTGATCGACATGTTCTGTTACACTATGATGTGGTCTGAGTGATAATTAATCACACATGTCATAAGACATTAATGTTGTGCCTATTATATTTTAACACTACGTTTTTATTCAACCCCTTGGTGTTTTCAAGAAGAATAAGTGTTTAAAGGTATTTCAACGACATTGTCTGCCACATCCATAGCTGACCACACGTTTCACTTAATACAGAGCTTGTCAGGCCAACACAACGAATGAAGTAGTAGTCAGAACACTATTAATATAAGCCATTTGTTATAATAACTGTTATGACATGAACGCCTTTTCTAGTGTGTTTGAAACTCTATTATACACACTTCTTGAAATACCCTAAGGGACTGAATGAAGAATGTACTGTTAAAAATTAATAGGCTTATGAAAAGTTTAATTAATTGTTATCATGCTTATAGCTGGGTGGTTTAATTGATATAACCAATTACCCAACAGCAGTGATTACATTGATGAGTGGCACATAAACTAATTGATTAACTGAATTTATGATTAAATTTGTTAATAGATATTAGTTCTTTTGATTATATCGATTGTCACAAAAATAATCAACAAATCAAAATTTCTAGTTTTGACTATTCTACCTATCTAAGTAATCAAAATACTGCTATCCAACTTTCTTGCTTTGTCTTTGTTTGCACAAAGATACTAAGGCTATCTGGAAGAACTGTTGCTAATTTTTAACTGCTAGCTAGAGGGAAGATGACTGGTTGGCAGCATCCACCACCAATTCTTTTTTTTTTTGTTGGTTAACCGATGATATAAGTAAAGCAACTATGTGACATTCAGACATTCATTTGCATGTTTTGTTTGGAGTAGGAATATTTCTTTTCTTAGTGTCATTTTACTAACTGCCAAATTTTTTTTGAAATTTAAGATCACTTTTTTTTTCTGAGCCAATTATTTCAGTAATTCATCTGTTAATTTCTTGTGCTTCTTCCATAGTTGGATCAGAAGATTGTATACCATATGGTTCAAAAATGATCCGTTAATATAGAAATGTTTTACATTTATTCATAAAATAAATGAAAATTTTGTATTTTTAATACCTCTTTTTTTTCACTTTTTCATTATCAGTCTTTGTTTTGGTTTCACCTTTTGTTTTTGGATACAGAATTGGATTTGTACATCTTGAAAACAGTAACTATGTGTTCTGGTGTAGTGGCACTACATGTGGATCATTGTTTTGTTTGAATATAGTATAAACTATAATGTGCCTTCCTATATCAACCTTTTAAACTCATTTCTAGATGAAATGCTATTATTTTTGTTTTACTTGGTTTTAATTCCTCATTTTTTATGATGGTTTGCTTGTATTATATCTACCTTCAAGAATTTCTTTAGTGCTTCACATGTATCAAACTTTTTTATCTGATCTTTTTGTAGCGTGTTTGTTTCATTGGTTAGTGATTGTTCATTCCCCATCTGTCTGATATGTTAAGTTCCTCTTGTTTACATCTGTTGTCTTTACAAGTCTTTGTTATGTATGATAAGGATTAATAAACGTTATTAAAAAGCTATTAATTTAAGTACTTTACAGCTTTTATCAAGTGGTTGAGCTCACCCAGGATCTGTATTAACTGCAATGATTTGTTTATTACTATAGACCCAGTTTCTTCCTTGTTGTTTGCTTCACATAATTAAAGATTGATGATTCTGTTCCATGTAGTTTATGCATTCTCATTTGAGAGATTTATAACTCTTTCAGTCATTTTCACTACAGCTTCATTTAAATTTTTCTTTCATATAATGAAAATGTTGATAAGCCAACATAATTTTTGTTTTATTCTGGGTAATTGCTTGTTAGGGACATAAGTTATTTATACTCCATCTTTTTCATCCTAATCACAAAATATCCCATAGTTAAGATAGGTTGTGAACATTAACTCTTAATCACCTTAATCTGTTTCTGTTCATACAAATATATATATCCTCATTATGTTCTTATCATGTCCATACTATTTGAGTGACTTCCTGGTTCTTTTTAAAGTTAATTTGTATGTCTAATTTCATGGCAATTCATGGTTGCTTTGTTTGTTCACCATCTTTATTAAAGTTTTTTAACATTTAGAAAAATACTTAGAGATGATGTTAAACAAAATGTTACTCAGCCATTGTTCGGATTGAGCAAGTGTGTAAAATTGTTTTTTTTCCAAGGTCTGTTTCAAGACTTGTTGTTTATTATTTATAAAAGTGATACTTGTAGCAAAATAGGTTGTAAATTATATAATTTTTTTGTAACACTAAGTTGCTAATGAAACCCAGTACTAAAATAAATGCTGTTTTTATTCAGAAGATCCTTATAAGAATAGTGAATAGTCAAGTACATGGAGAATGTGTAATTTACACTGCTAAAAAAAATTAAGGGAGAAAGAATATGATCGAGTACCGAGAACAAAATTTTGTAATGATTAGTGTGAAAAGTATATTAATAGTATTAACATTATTTGATGAACACAAATGGCATGTCATGATGAACATTGCTCATCTTTCAGTGGTGAAACAGGTAAACCCCTATATAAGGTTTGTAAATGTGGTCTTCCTTCACATCTGTAGTAGAATTTAAAGTGGACCATAAAGTTCCTTGTAGTAATCTGTGTTTTTCTCTGATATTGATAGATTATGTTAAGTGCTACTTGGATGAGACTGAAGTTGCAATAGCTGTGCAGATGATGCTACACAGAGACCTGTTGCTGCAAGGTTTAATGTAGCCCCCAGTGTAGTGGCAAGACCTTGGAGATATTATCAAACCACCAGATCATACACCAGGAGACCAGGCCAGGGCCATACACATGCCACAAGTCAAATACAGGGCAGCTACTTGGTGAATATAGCACTACGGAATGGTCATAGTGATCTTTATTGTGCAACTGGCACCCATGTATCTGACCACACTGTTTGTAATAGACTTCATAAATGTGGATTAAGAACCAGAAGACCCACTCGAGCTGCCAGATTAAACTTTGCTTGTTTATACGACAACTGGCAGCTTCGTTATTGGAGAACTGTACTTTTTGCAAATGAAAGTCAGTTTCATGTTTCACTTGTGACAGATGTGTACATGTATGGTGATGCCAGTGTGAATGTTATGTGGCTTGCAATATTGTGGAATTTGATCATTATGGTGGAGGTTCTGTTATGGTCTGGGTGAGGATCTGCTTGGAAGGTTGCACTGACCTAATTTTTATGTATGGAATTTCCTTAACTGCACAATGGTATCAAGATGGCATTCCACACCCTGTTTTAAGATTTTTTGCAGGTGCCATCAGAAACAGTTTCACATTGGTGTAAGATAATGCCAGACCCCACACTGCCTGGTTATCCATGGGTTACTTAGAGCAGCAAGGGATCAAGGTGATGAATGAAGTGGCCAGCAAAATCACTGCACTTAAATCCCATCGAACATGCATGGGACCAACTGTATAAACTGATTCATTGCCATGCAAATTCCCCTGCCAATGTTGACAGAGGAGTGGCTCACTTTGCCATAAGGCTGCATCATATGTTTTTTCAGAAATATGCTAAGATGTCAAGTTTATACAAGCTCAAGATAGGCGTACGTCTTACTAGAGGTTAATTGGAATCTTTTATGTTCCTCAAGTTTTAATGTTTTACACACTACATGGATTACACTTTTTTTTTAGGGTTGTTGTTTAAAAATGTCAATTTCTTTGGAAAATGAAAAATCATCAACATTTTGGTTCAGAAAAGCTCATTATTAAGGCTTTTTCATTTTAATTAACATTTCTGTTATCTTCATTATTTAAAGAATATGAGACATTTTTCTTTTTTTTTGTCTCCCTTAATTGTTTTGAGTAGTGTATTTGCTGAAAAGAAACTAAGAATTGCTAGTGATGTGAGAAGAAATTTGATGATGTTGAGAATTTCCATAAAGGACTTGGGTGTGATTCTTGAGATAAATATAAAAATAACTGATGGCAAGTCTTGTGATAACTAGAACTAACTGATTTTTGAAAGCTACATATCTTTATAATTGTGAATTTAAAAGTAAGAAGTTCATTGTTACCTAAAACATATATAAAACCGATTTTACCTCATTTAGAAAGCTGTTGACCTTCCTGAAAGTTATTTGTTGTTTATTTCTATCTTTATATTTGTGATTTTGGGAGTAATTTTCCTGTTAATGTTATATGTGTAAATAGTGTAGACTTTTAAACTATGTAGATATGAAAGATTACACTTAGAAGGTTGGTGCATAATTGGGGATGAGAGATCACCTTTATGGCTCATCTGGACATGTTGTCACCATCCTCACATGTATCCTCATTTTGTAATTATATTTTTGTTGTTTTCTCACTTTCTTTTGGGCTGAGGGAAAGTTAATTTTTGAGGTAATCAGTTACATATTGACTTTTGAATGAAATTATTTTATAACATAGCACTATAATTCATCAATTATCATGTAGTATTGATTATACTTAGGCAAATTACCTCACAAGTATAAGGTGGTCATTGCTGGTAACCATGAACTCACTTTTGATCCTTCCACATCCGACATCGAAATGATTCAATGTCATATTTCTATGTTATCCCTTGAACAAAGAGGAAGTTCCAAGTCATTAGAAAAAGAAGCTAGAGACTTGCTCACAAATTGTATTTACCTTGAGGATTCTGGAGTTGACATTTATGGACTCAAAATCTATGGCACTCCATGGTAAGTGCAATGCCATGAAATGTCTGTTTCAGTTTTAGATTAGAAAATGTGTTTGGTCTAAATTTTAGCTTCAAAATTTAAAGACAGACCACAGAGTACGTATATATTTTTTTAATATTACAAATTTGTTTCCAGCTTTCAAGTAAGTTTTTGGTAGTAAGGTATGAATAGATTTCAGAAACATTATGTATAAACTAACAAATCATGATCAGGTGGGGGTGCATAGCTTGGCATCTTTACTTAGACCTGAGGAATAGTTTTGGGAAAGTTGTTCATTGTTCATCTTTAGACTTTTATACTAGAGATATAATGGAAAGATCAACACACTTGCCAGTGCTGATCTTCCTTATCAGCAAGATTAATTAAAAAAAAAGATACTCCAACAGCAAGTACGTTAATTTATTAAAATGCCTTATTGAAGTTAATATTTTTTGTTTGATTAAGGAGTTGAATGTAATATTTGTGTATGTAATGCACTAGAGTAAATGTATATTCTGTTATATACAAATCATAAATTATTTAATTCAGATAATTTGCTGTGGGTGAATCATTAAATTACATGGTAATTTCTGTGTTAAATATCGAATGGTATTGTTCCACTTGTGTTTGTAGGAAACTGAGTACTTGGCACAAATGGTGTATTTTTTCAAGTGTCTACTGTATTTTCTGGTATAATTTATCAAAAGTAATATCTATGTGCACTTTCTTTGAAGAATATCAGTTACTTTAATTTTGTTAGCAAATAATATATTTTAATACCATTGATTGAAAATATTGTCATCCTAGGAAAAAAGAAATAAAGATTCTTGAAAGTGAAACTTAGTATTAAATCTACCAAATATTTTCTAATCTTTTAAAGTAAGGTTTGCTTAGGTCTTAAGCTTTGGTAGTCCAGAAAACAATCTTTAAGAAATCATACATGAGTGGAAGAGTTCTGTTTTGGGTGCAGAAAATCATATTGGTGGTTTTTGGCCAGAGCACAACCAGTATGGAAAATTCTCAGGGATAAAATTGAATAAAAATTTCAGGCTTTATCCATCTGGCACTTTCCTGTTTTGTTTCGTACTTTTTAATATACTCATACCCCTACATGGTGGTTATTCCACAAATCTATTACCATTGGTGATATCTTCCTATGTTGCCTGGTGGTTTATTCCACAAGTCTACTACCATTGGTGATATCCTCTTATGTTGCCTAGTGGTTTATTCTATAAGTCTACTACCATTGGTGATATCCTCTTATGTTACCTGGTGGTTATTCCACAAGTCTACTACCATTGATGATATCCTCTTATGTTACCTGGTGGTTATTCCACAAGTCTACTACCATTGGTGATTCCTCTTGTGTTACTTGGTGGTTTATTCCACAAGTCTAGTACCATTGGTGATTACTCTTGTGTTACTTGGTGGTTTATTCCACAAGTCTAGTACCATTCGTGATTCCTCTTGTGTTGGCTAAGTCAGAGGGGAAGATTTTGGTTGGGTTGTGAATGCTTGGACATTTTCAGTACTGGCAAACAGTTCTGCTCCCATCCATGATCATGGAGTCAGGGATGTATAGCACCTGATAGACTGTACATGTACATAAAGAAATAATGATGTAATATGTGAAAAAGTTAGCTATTTAATCTTTGCCCTCAAACTACTAAGATAAAACAAAATCAATAACCAACACCTAATCAAATTATAGTTTTGCAACATTTTGGTTATCTGCCTGATCATCAGGCAGGTGTCAAAAGAAACTTGCAAAATATAAAATTAGATGTTATTCCTATATTTTTGCTTGTGTGTGTGTTTGATTACAACATTGTGTGGACATTTGAATGGCTATAAATAAGAAAGAAATTTGCTCAGAATTATTAACTGGAGATCTATAGCACAATACCAATGTTTAATGTAAATATATTCTCAGTTTCAATAAAAGTTTAGCAAAAATTATATTTTTAATTAAGTATTAGGGTAACAAGTTATGTTTAAATCGTAGTTAGAGTACAATTATTTATTTAAAGTAAAACTTAAAACTAGCTGTTTCTTTAAAAAGCAAAAATACAAAGATTTTCCCATTTCTTTATTTCTTCTAGGCAACCAGAATTCTGTAATTGGGCATTCAACCTTCCTAGAGGTGAAGCTTGCCTTGCAAAGTGGAAGAAAATACCAACTGATGTTGATGTTCTAGTCACCCACTCTCCACCTATTGGCCATGGGGACTTTTGTGTTACTGGAGTGCGAGCTGGCTGTGTAGAACTTCTCAGCACAGTGCAAGCTCGTGTGAAACCTAAATATCACATATTTGGCCACATACATGAAGGTATGAAAATTAATTTTATTTGTAGATTATTTTCTAACTCTCTTATTTCACATCATGAAAGTACTGTGGATCAGAGGTTAGAATATTCTGTACAGGACTGTCATTCAGTAAGAAACGTACACCAACTGTTCGGTACCTCCAAATCTAGCCACTTGGATTGACATTAAGACAAAAAATGGATTTAATCAGTAAATAGAACATTAGATCAATCTTTGAAGTCCAACTAAGCTTGCATTTAATGACACCTGTTTGTGTGTGTGTGTGTGTGTGTGTGTGTGCATAGGTGTTAATGTCTCTCTCAAAATTGGTTATCTTGCACAAAGATTTGTTTGGTGAAGCTAATTCTTCACCATTATTTGAAGCCCTGTGATGTTTGAAGGCCATTTTGCAGTTAGTTTACACAAGTAAAGTTGTTATCACTTTACTGTAAATGCAAATACTTCACCTGACATTACACTGTGACCCACTTTCAATATGGTACATTACCTCCGTGCTCACATGTATGGCTATTCTTGTTCAGTGCTGTCTTCTATATACAAAAATCTTTTTTCGCACACCACAAGCCTTGCACTCTCACATACCCCATGATCATCGTGGTTCAGCTGTGTCTCGCATGTAAATCATCATGCAACACACCCTCCTGATGCACACGACTCCCTCTATTTGGTTCTACTGAACTTTCATTTCTCGTTAGGCAGTGCTCTAGTGCAGACGTTTTTTGATTATGCTCTCTTCAAGAGTTTTTTCTTTAATATTTCATATGAAGTGGAAATATTTTTGCTACAGTTTTATGTGATAACTTACCTTTATTGTTCTTTTTTTTTTTTTTTCAAATCCATTATCATTACATGATGCATTCAGAAGTTCATGTTACCATTTTGGGAGTTCTACCACCTACTTTTAGCACAATAAAACAGGTTTCAGGTCAGGGAAAACTCAACTGAGGAATGTTTGGCTTTCATTCATCAGGAGATTGATCGTTATATGAGTTACCCTTCTCCCAATATTGCTCGACTTCCTCCTGAATTTGCCAAACCTGTTTGGGATGAGGAAGATTTTTCCTCCACCTGACTATGCCATGCTTTCCCAAGCCTTTTTAGATGATTTCTCCAATTTCTTATAAACCTGTTCCTTCCTTATATTACATGACACCCCTTCCTCACAGTATTTTATTTTCCCTCCTTCTCCTGACATCAGGGTTCATGCTGAGCATTTTGTTTCACAGTTGCAAGCGGGTGCTAGCATGCCTCACCCTCCATGGCCTCTGATTATTTTGCCTTGGTTTACTACCATCAGGCAGATTACTTTTTTTTTATTCTCAGCAGTTAGAATCACTTTTGCTTTTATGGGGGGCTGACCTGGCAATCCTATCCATTTACCCCATGTCCATTTTCCCCACCTTTTTATTACCCTTACGACTCTCCTACGGTACTTGTTTACCACACTCCTCCTTTCTGAGGCACTCCACCGATTTCCTGAGGGGTTTTCAGGGGATACATTCTCTCTCATTACCTCCACATTGGTGTGATTATCCTCTTTGGCTCTCTCCATTCACACGTGTTTTCTTTGCTTTTGTGGGGGGATGCTGTCTTGTTCCAGGTTCGTTTACCATCCACGTATATTTGGGACTTGCAAATGGCTCATTTTCTCCATTGGTCCATTTTTGGGGATATTCCTAAGAATTTGGACTCACTTGTGGAATCTGTGAGGCAACATTCGACTCTTTCATCTTTGGTTGCTCAATTGTCTCATTCTGAGCTCATGCAATCCCATGTTACTATTCCATGTCAAGCACCCTCCCATCCTTTATCTGTTCCTGGCACTAGAGGTTCCACCATTCGTTGTTTTTCTTCACGTAGATCAGCACCAGCATTACCAGTGATTATCTTCTGGGTTCTGGTCCAGTTGGGGATCATTTGGCCGATTTAGTTACCCAATAGTAGGAATCTGATTCTTGGGTTATCGAGGTTTTGTTTGAAGGGCTTTTCATCCAATTCCTTTCCCCCTCCCCCATTGTCTCCAGTACTCATATTCTCTCCATTACCTTGAGATCATACTACTAGTTGATGTCTGTTCGAGGCAGTGTGGTCTCTTCTATCACAGAGAGCTATTGAGTCTGTCAGCCATCATTCCCCACCTTTTTACTTCAGATTGTTTGTGGTACCCAAGAAAATCAGGCTCTGGTGTCCTGTGATCAATCTGTCCCATCTCAACCAATTTTTGGATCTTTCTCATTTTACTGTGAGTCCTTTCTCACACTAAGGTTGGCTTTTTCTCCAGGACTGTGGATGACCAAGGTAGACATCTCAAATGCTTATCTCCATATTCCTATTTCTCATCAGTCAAGATGCTGTCTTCAGTTTGTTCACCAAGGGGTTGTGTATCAGTTTTGCATCTTGCCCTTTGGGTTTGCTTCAGTTACATATGTTCTTTATCGTGTGGTCAAAGCATTTGCCTGACTTATGCATGCTCAGGGGTTGAGTTTACACCATTACATGGATGACTGGCTTCTGTTAGCTCATTCCAAACTGCAGTCATTCACAAAACACTCATCTGCTTCTGACAGAAGCAGCTCAAGTAGGTTGGATTATCATGTTGGAGAAGTCTTTCCTGTTACTTACCCAATATCTTATCCACTTGGGTGATTTCTTGACACCCACCTCAGTCAGGCTCAACCTTCTCCTCTTTGACTCTGTTTGATGGAGCTTTCTGTTCTTCATGCCCTTGCTGCTCCCTCTCTTCCTGTTCATTAGGTTCTATTGCATTTGAGGACATGGACTTCTACGGGAAGCACTTATCCCCTTGAGTCAGGCACATGTGTGGTCTCTTCAGTGGACTCTGCACAACCAATGGAATATTGCTCAAGATCCATTGGATTCTCCCATTACTCTTCCTCCATCCCTAGTTGAGGATTTGCATTGGTGGTGGAACAAGACCCACATGTTGTCGTGTTTACTGCTTCCTCCACCTCATCTGGATTTGCATCTTTTCACAGATGCTTCCCTCTATAATTGGAGGGCGTGGGTTGACCAACAGGAGGTTCCAGACAATAAGGTATGGCCGAGAGGTCTTAACATCTCAACATCTTGGAGCTTCTGCCGGTGCAATGTGATTTGGATCACGTTTTTCTTCTTGTAAGAAATTGAATTGTCATGATCCATTCTGACAATTTTACAGTGGTGGCTTATATCAGTCACCAAGGGGGTACCCATTCTCGTCCCTTTTGAGGTCAAACCACGGATCTCTTTTTTTTTGGGGGGGGGAATACGTCTCCTTGAATGTCATGTGACAGATGCTTTTGTGGCAGATTGCCTTTCCAGACCAGACAAACGTTCTCTCACAGAGTGGTCTCTTGATCATCAGTTTTTCCAGTGGCTATGCTCCCAATGAGGTACTCATCAGCTGGATGAATTTGCCACTTTTCTCAATACCAAGTTACCTTTTTGTTTTTGGTCTCTGTTCCTCACTATACACACCGTAGCTGTCGATGTGTTCAGCCAGGATTGGACCAAAGGGTACCGTTATGTTTATCCTCACATCTGACTTCTTCCCTGGGTGATTTTGATCATCCATGCTATTCTGTGTCAGGTTGTCTGATCACTGTGTCCTTACTGGCTGACACAACCATTGTTTCCTCGCTTCCTGCATCCCTTCTAGGTCAACCTCGGTCACCAGTAACTCATTCTGCCCTTCCTACCCTCCATTTTCACACCTGGCATTTATCAGGTCCTTGGCAAGGAGATCTGGATTGTCTCAGTGGGTCTCTTTTTTTTTTTTTTACCACATTCCACTTGCTCTTCATCAATGGTGATCTATCAGTGTAAATTGAATGCCTTCCACTGTTGGTCTTTGTGTCAGGTTTTTTTCCCCTTTTCAACCCACTGTTCCTCTTATTACAGATTTCATAATTGATTGTTCAATCATAGGACTTTGGTCTCATCCATTGCTGGATATCAAGCAGCCTTATCCCACACCTTCTGTTTTTCCCAGTACCATTTAGCATTTATTTCTCTTACCCTCTCCCTTTTGTTGTGCTCCTTCTGGATTCGTAGACCTCCTTGTTGGAGACTCATGGCCAGTAATGCACACTGTTGAGATAGGTATTCCACAAGATTGCTAATAAGTTTTTCCTTGCAATATATTTGCTTCATTAACCCTTTTCATCTGTCAAAGGCCATGTCATCGCGTTTGTTGACTCGCATTCAAAATTTAGTTGAACTACTATTTTAGGAATTTATGTCATTAAGTTTGGTATTAAACTGTAGATTATAATTAAAATTTTCATATTATACATTATTTAGTTTCCTAATTTAAAAGTATATATATATATATATATATATTAAAAAACATGCCTAAACATCGATTTTTTTGTCATGTGGTATGTTGAATGCAGCACCAGTTCAAATTAGATGTTTGTGATGTTAAAATACAAAGTCTAAAGCTAGAACATAGAATAGGATCATCCTATTTTTTTCTACTTGTTGAGATATTGCACATGTACTTAATAAAACATAGTGGCCCCACTCACTTATTTCCATTTTTAGAAATGGTCCCTTATCTATATCATGTGAATAACCAATTGAAAGCTAAAAATGTCCCCTAAGTGATTTTCTAAGCTATTTTCAAATATAACAGCATCTTCTTTGGAGACAAACCTTTGTGCTGTTTAGTTGAGTCTTTAGCTTGTTTGAAATCTCTCTCCACCACGTTTATCCCCCCTTGTTTTAATAGTGAAGTATGGGGTGGTGGACCAAAGAGGTATACTCCTGAATACGATCACACAATAATAAACGAAAACTAAAAAATTCTTTGAGCAGAGAGTAGGGCAGTGGTGTTCTGCTGGTGTAGATTAAATGTGATCCTTCAATCCTGTGCTCCATCTCTGTATGATAAGCTCCAAGGGTTATGTTCCATCCAGCTTCTGTGCAATTCTATTCGGAGGGTGTGGTTGCATTTAATTGGGTGAGGCATTCCCTTTCCTTGCAGTGAAACCTGGAAGTTTGCAATGTGCTCCAATTCTGTATGGTTCAATCTGAGGGGATGATGTTGCATATGTCTACTAATAAATACACTCTACCTCCATGCAGTGGGTTCTGGAGGTTAATGTTGTGCATTACTTCTGTGCAGTTCTATCCGGAAGGTGAGGTTGCTTATAATTTATGGATGTAATCAACTTCCATGCATTGGGACTTGAACATTGCTAAGGCACTCCAACCTTTGTGTGCACCTATCTGGAGGGTGATGTTGCATTGTAGTTGATCTGTCACATTGCAGTTCACCCCTTTGATTGGGATTTCTCATCATGCCATCACATGGATGTTGGTTCCTGGTGACTGGTTTTGGATTCAGAGCAGGACCAATCAACATAAGTCCTCACACATGTGTTGCTTGCATTTCCTCATCTTCACTCAATTTGACTCATAATCACCAACTCCGTGTGGTGGGTCCTGGAGGTTCATGTTCTACTCAGCTTCTGTGCAGTTCTATCCGGAGAGTGAGGTGGTTATATTTTTCACCAAAGGCTGTCCACTTCCATGTGGTGGAACCCAGAGGGTGGTGTTGCACTACAACCTCAGTGCAGTCCTATCTGGAGGATAATGTTGAATTAGGTGACAGCTCTCCCTCTGGAGCTCCACCTTTCACCCGCCACATGAGCACATCTCATACTGCTGTCAGTTGGATGTTGGGTTCCTGGATGTATGGTTGGTTGTGGATTTGCACACATGTACACCTTTTGTAGATTGGTTTGTGCAGTATATAATTACATTCTACTGAACTTGAGGTGAAGATGGTGTGGACCTTCCTCCTACTGTAGATCAGAGGTTATATACCGATTGGTTTTAGATTGGAGTTAACCTGCTGTGTACAGTCCGTCGTGTCCTAGCCACTCAACACCTTGGAGCACATCCATTTTAGCTTTTCTCCCACATTACTGTCTGTAGATGTTTATTCAATGGGATTAAGATTATGATATCCTGTGGCTCGAATTACAATCCAAACATATTTTTCTTCCCTTTTTCCGCCTGTGTATGCGTCACCTCTTTCCACACTAAATGCAGAGCATATCTGGTACAGAAGTAGTGTGGTCTCCTATGTATGATCCTCTACTACTGCTCACAATTCTGGGGTGTTCTTCGGACACTTGTGAAGGATGCTTATTTCTTTCCCTCACACTAGACCCTCCACCTATTCAATGTGGGATTCTTTATGTAAATAGAGGTAATGTACCATATCAGAATTTATAATTCTCCTATACTGAAAATGCATTTCTAATAGAAAACTAAATAATCATTAGATATTAGATCACTAAATGAGCTAAATAACTTACACTAAACAGTCTTGTATATCAAACAATAGGAAAATTATAACTTTGGTACCATAATACATTCTTTGTATTTAGTAATCATTTCAAGGAGTTACATACTTGCCCCCCCAGTGACACAGTGGTATGTCTGAGGACTTACAATGCTAGAAACCAGGTTTTGATACCCATGGTGGGCAGAGCATAGATAGCCCATTGTGTAGCTTTGTGCTTAACTGCAAACAAAAAGTTACATACTATAGCTTCACATTATTGAAGAAAACCAGACTACAGCATTCCAAAGCATGGAATTAAATGTTGTAAAAAATATCTTAAAAACTTTATTACAGTGGTTTCTGAACATCATGCCTTTAATTAGCTCTGAGTTCTCTACATGTCCATCTCCTGGCTTTTAAAATCTAACTTGATTACACAATTTTCCCCATACCTTTAGCAGCCAGTGTTGGTTTAGGATTTTTTTCACACTTGTTATTTTATCTTATAATCATGTGTTCATATGTCTATACATCAGTGGGAAATATAATTATATCTTGTTGATGTACTCTGGTGTTTACCTTGTTTAATTTTTAGGGGACACTGGGCCAAAACTATTAGTTTCTTTTTCACTGTGCTTTCCAGGATTATTCCTAAACACAATGTGTCAGTCAAACAGTTATTTTTCCATCATCTAGACTTGTAGTATAGTTTGATATTCTGTTTAATAAATGTAATTCCTTCTGAAGAGGTATTTAGTTCTTAATAAGGGCATACACACAGAGATTTAGAAATACTATATCAGAAGAGTAAGTAATATGATAAAATCCTTTAACTATTTCAGCTGGTTATAAAGATAGAGCTTTGGTTTCATCCTTACTGTTTGGATACTTGATATTTTGAATCCTATTTATGTTTTTGTTTTGCATTTCAAATTTCATGTGTGTTAATGGAACTATGATTCAATGTTTTACTTTATGTAATGAAAATTAAAATTATTGTAGCTATTTTGATTTTTTTAAATTTTCTGTTTGTCTTTTTTTATTACAGGATATGGCATTACAACAGATGGACAAACAATTTTCATTAATTGCTCAACATGCAACTCCAGTTATAAACCAGTCAATTCACCTATCATATTTGACATTCCATTGCCTCAAGGCTACTGTAAAACTTAATGGCTTCATTAAATTCATTTTATCTAAGAACAACACGAATATATTTAATCAAGAAATCTCTTGCAGAGTTTTTGGGAAAGGTTGTGGGTACATTTGTTGAAATCAGATATGGGAACTCTTTCTTATTTCTGTAAAAAAACAAAAAGAATGTAGATCTCATCTGTTATAACAAAATATTGAAATTAAATTTCAGATTTCAATACATTTAGTTAGTTGGTAGAAGGTAGAAGTTTAATGTTTGTATATTATTAAATATTATACAGTGTGGAACTTTATGCAAGAGTAGTGGAAAGATAAGGAGCAAATTAAAAAAATTGAAGAATTAATATTCAGAGACATTCTTTTCTTTCATTATTTAAGTTGCCCCCCTTCAGTGGTACAGTGGTATGGGCTTAACTACAAACAAAACAAAAATATTATTTAAGTCTGTTATTGGTTATTTCTTTTAAAATTATTATCCATTTAAAACATGCATTTTATTTGATAGGGTGAATATGGGTAAAAGATTAAAAAAAGAATAAATTTCACGGTATTAATTCTGATAGAAATATATAGATATATATGTTGGTACTTTATAATACTGGTTTACACTTGAAAATATATATATATATATATATATATATATGCATACAACATTTGAAGTGTTTTGCATTTGATTTTTAGTCAATATAGTTGAACTTTTGATACTATATTTATAGAAAACATTATTTTAAATAATTATTTATATAAAAATAAGGTATGTTAATTTATCAAATTTGTTGAAGCAGTACATTAATAGTTCTTATACTTACAGTTGATGTAATTGCTACCATTATGTTTTTCTGTTTTGGATGTATAGTAATTTATACTATTACATTTTTTATTGTGTGTTTTCATAGTATCAAGTCTATCAGTTTTTTAACTGACTATTACATTGTTTTAAATAACTGAAATTTAAGTACAATTTGTAATAAGTGCTTTAAAATTAGTGGTAATATGGTAGGTAGTCAGTGAAACTTTGTGTTAGTTTTTCTAGTCTAAATAACATAGCAATTTAGGGAACTTTATAATAATATTACATTGTATGATTAATTTAATGTTAAAAACTTATGTAGCACTTCTTATACCAAAATTTGGAAATTACTTAAATGAGAAATTTTATATATTAAGCACAATAAATACAATAAAACTATCTGCTGTTATGAAATTTTAAGTTAAGACATCTTTCAGCCCCTATTGGCTCAGACTTATGATACTAAAAGTTGTGTTTTTGATACCTGTGTATCTTGATTCTTAAAAACAAACAAGACATTTTTGTGAACTTTTAGATTGTTTTCTGTTTGTATAAACTTTAATTTTGGATCAGTTTCAAAAGCATGCCTCAAAGATGAATTGTATTAAAAATGTAAATATGTTCCATTTTTTAAGCACAGTTCTCCAGAATTCTTTTTAACTGAATTGAGTACATCCAATTCTTTAATAAACTTTTTTGGTAGTGTTAATTATATAGTACTACTCAGTTAACTTATCTAGAGCATGCTCTCAGTCATCTGCAGAATCTTTTGTAATGTGCAGGTTGAATTTCTTTTTCTGCAATTAATGACAATAATAGTGTTTTACCATAAATACTGAATGATCCACATTAAGTTAAGCTGCATGATAAATGCTGTCACTTGGTGAGTTTCCCTGAATGAACATTATTTGATTAATTCCTTAGTAAACAGTTACTGTATAATTTCACAGAATTTGTCTTATCCTTAAACTAAATCGTATTTTCATTACCAATTAATATATTTCTAACATGAATTGGAACACTTTATGAGTTAACAAATTCTCTTGGTAGCATTCCTCATATTCTTCCACATTAACCCATCATAGTAATGTGGCGAGTAAAGAATAAAAATATCCTGTTCTTTCAATTGTTTCTATTTGCTTCTGCTTGACAACTTTTATTTTACATTACCCAGTTGAGTCGTTTTAAAAATTAATGTCTGTAGGTTGAAGATATGGAAGTGCAATTGCTTTTGAAGCACTTCAGTAGTTATTAAAAGTATGTTTAAAGTACAGTTTAATTCTGTATGAATTTATGTACTAAACACATTAAAATAATACCCCACATTGTCGATATAAATGTAGTGATGTCTTCTAATGTGTTTTGTTGCCTATGTTACATTGTATTCACTTTGTGTTTGAGTGATTGTTTTGTCTTTTAAAGGAAGAGCTGTCTATATAACAGCTTAATTTGTGTGTATATATAACGTAGTTTTTGTATTGAAAAACTGTAAAGAAATACACAAATTACACATTTTCAGTGAGAAATATTTAGCGAAAGTTCATACATTTTCCTTTATATTTGTATTTTTTACAGAGTGAGAAAAAGTTTCATATATCAAACAGTTTAACAAAAAAAATAATTATAACTTAGATATAGTTAATACACACACACATATATGTATTAATAAATCAACTAACCCTCAGGAGTTTATTTTATTTAAATAGTTTTTGGTGTATATTTTAAGTTCTGAGTAATGTGAATTCGTCTTTGTTTTAGATACTTATTTTTTTTTTCTTTTACATATACACTGTGTTATATATATGATTGACAAAATCGTGTAGAAATTCAGATATACTAAGGAGCCCTGATGGATGTCACTGAATGAAGTATAAAAATGTTCTATATAACATTTAAGTATTGAACTAGGTTGACTGATGTATTACTGAGAGAAGAAACCAGCAGGCTCCCTGGCTCTAAGCCTGAGACCAATCTTCGTATCGGCCGCTGATATCGATCCAGTCTAAATAATTTTTTGATGTTTTTCCGATCCGATTTTTAAAAAGATCGGATCAGTAAGTTTGTTTACCTATGAATATACATTCAGGCAATGGAGAGAGCGTGATGTATCCCGAAATGAGGTCACGGAGAAGCGAAATGAAATATTGGTAACCATCAGTTTAGGTTGTGTCTTGATATATAGTAACTGCTTCTTAATTTTTTTTTACAAAGATAAATTTATTTTCGACATAGTTTTATTTGGCATAATATACCTTAGCATCACTTGAAAAGTCCCTTTATTTCTGGTATTCACAACTATTACTATGTTCAACCTCCTCCTTCCTGTTTTCGTTGCAGGGAGGTTTGTTATAGGGTTTACATCAATGAAGAAATATTAAGTGGACATGATTTATAACATTTTGCATTTGACTCAATGTCCTTGGGCCAACATTCCACCTATTGTCCGTTTTGTAGTCTTATAAGTACGTGATTTATTTGAAGACGAAGCTTGACGCATTACTATACATTAAGAACATCCTGAACACACTTATGAAGATCGTCAAACTCTGGCCCTAAAGGAAAAACTACATATACCATTGTAGGTACACAGTACCAGACGTTAAACCACCAAACATGCTCGCCCTTTCAGCCGTGGGGGCGTTATATGTGACGGTCAATCCCACTATTCGTTGGTAAAAGAGTAGCCCAAGAGTTGGCGGTGGGTGGTGATGACTAGCTGCCTTCCCTCTAGTCTTACACTGCTAAATTAGGGATGGCTAACGCAGATAGCCCTCGTGTATCTTTGCGCAAAATTCAAAACAAACAAACAAACCAGATGTTAAATATACAGAAAATAATTACCTGCGGAAGTAGGAATCTAGCTCTTCATCAGAACTGTCTATATAAGTTGTATTTTTTAAATCATTAGGTTACTTTTGTGCTAATTTGTGTGTGTGTATATCCATAGAATCTTAAATATAAATCTGTATTTGATTTTGAACTTTTCTAATATCATAAAAGCACTAAAATATTTACACCTGTAACAAAAAGAGTGGGGCCTAGCAATTGGGGGATTTAGACTAGCACTCTGCATACAGTAGGATTGAATATCGTCTCTGAACGTGCTCACCCTTTCAGCCATGGGGCATTATAATGTGAAGATCAGTCTCACTGTTTGTTGATAAAAGAAAAGCCCAAGAGTTGGCAGTGTTCACTTTCTGCCTTCCCTCTATTCTATCGCTTCAAAATTAAGGACAGTTAGTGCAAATAACCCTGATGTACCTTTATGCAAAATTCAACAAACAAGCAAGAAGAACAGCCATCTACCAACTTTATAAGTTTTATTTACTGGGTGGTCTCAGAATTTTTTTTAGTGTAAAGTTACTCATTTCTTAAGGGTATTTTAAATGTGCAATATGCATGCAATGTATAATGTCAGTCTTCACTGTTGTGGGAGTATACGATTGTTGTTGTTATTATTATTAAACAAAAAAAACTACACAAAGGGCTATCTGTGCTCTGCCCACCACGAGTATCGAAATCCGGTGTTACCAGTATAAGTCCGCAGACATACCACTGTGCCACTGGGGAGCAAGGAGTATACAACTGAAACAATAATTATCTGCATCATGAATAATAAACAAAACGTTATTGTATTGAACTTGAACAGGTTATTGGGTGATAAGTTTTGTTGGTACTGGACATAACAGAATCAGTGTTGTTGAAACATTATATTCTTCTTTGCTTTCACTCACAAGGTATTTAAATTAGTAAACATCTACATGATAACTTGACAGAAAATTATACTTACTTTGAAAGTTCATCATTAGTGCACATAAAAAACAGTACATGTTTTTTGATAACAGATATGAATGTACAGTTTGTTGTTAAGAACGAAGCTACACAATGTGTTATCTGTGATCCGCCCACTGTGGGTATCGAAACCTAATTTTTAGTATTATAAGCACTCTGACCAAGTCACTTGAGGCAAGTTGTTCAGACCGAAGGAAATCATCATGCACACATTTTTTTCGTCGTCACAAATAACTAAATGATTAAACAGGAAGTACACAAACCTGCCTTAAAATGAAGTTTATTACACGTATATGTAAATTAGAAATTGATAATATTGCTTGATTATATTTTTGGTTAGACTTGTGGTGGCCTGAAATTAATACAAACAATTTTATGCCTTCGAAAAAAGTAGGCGATGGTAAAAACTTTATTCCTTCTTAAAAGTATGATGCTATCTTTGAATATTGTACTTTTTATACTTTTTGGTCATGTACTTTCCTAGAATGTTGTATATACGTCAGTATTAAGCCAATCTTGGATATTACATGTAATGATGCATTATTGGCAACAAACTTGCATGCCTGGATAGGTTTATGACTGACGGGTGAGGGGTCTATATCTGCTTGACCTTGCCTTTATACATCCTGCTTGACATTTCATTTATACATCCTGCTTGGCATTTCCTTTATACATCCTGCTTGGCGTTTCCTTTATACATCCTACTTGGCATTTCCTTTATACATCCTGCTTGGCTTTTCCTTTATACATCTTGCTTGGCGTTTCCTTTATACATCCTGCTTGGCATTTTCTTTATACATCCTGCTTGGCATTTCCTTTATACATCCTGCTTGGCATTTCCTTTATACATCCTGCTTGGCGTTTCCTTTATACATCCTACTTGGCATTTCCTTTATACATCCTGCTTGGCTTTTCCTTTATACATCCTGCTTGGCTTTTCCTTTATACAGAGGTATCGATAAACAATTCTTCAGTTTCTCACGGGCAAGAGTTTCCAGCGGTAGTAACTGGTTTTATGTTAAGTTGGCATATATATCTATATTTATATCATGGGTACTTTTTTAAAAAATGAAAACACAGGGTGGCAGTACTAGATTCCAGCACGCCTGTGGTGGCAGTACTAGATAGAACATCTGCAGAAAGCGATAGGGTTATCGGATTTTGTGAATGGTGGTTTATGTACTACATGTTTTTATCTATTGTTATATTAGCGTTGACAAAGTGGCAAATATATGCACACAGAGAATAACTTCATATAATTATATTTCTATAAATTTGATGTTCTCAACTACAAGTTATACTCATTTTGTAACAAACAGTTTAAATACTTTCAGTACGGGTTTTGCAATATAATACGGTTTTAAATGGTCATACAGCACTAATACGTCACACATAAAGCAGCCTGTGAAACTGCACAAAACATATAACAAATGGAGTATGGGACAACACGATCTCTCGTTATTGCCAGACAAAAGACCACAGCTGCTAAAAATTAAATATAACTACCACTTTTTGCGACTTTTCGAGCAAACATTTAAGAAATAAAGAAAATTATAATAACTAATCGACAAATTATCTTCAGTAAATGTTGAAAAAAGTGTTTCTTAAGTGCTGTTCAGCAATTAACTTATTTATTCGCAATAACTTCTGCCTGTAATATAAAATAGTAAGCTTGTCTATTTTATCAGTATTACGAAATGTAATTCTAATTCAAATCTGCTGGAGTAAAAATAAATTATTTTCATTATTTCACTCGTATTAATAGTTCACTCAAATTATGATGACCAAATACTACTCCTACAGATAAAATATTTATAAGTAATCTATTATTTCTCCCATTTGTCTCGTGCTAGTGTGACGTCAGTATACCTATCATAGATGCTGTTGGGGAATGGGAGGTAAAAGGCTACAATTCGTGTTGACAGCTGTTAATGGTAGTCCTCTCTTGCTAGGTACACATCACAAAAAGTGGTGCCTCAGGTCATATCTACACACTGAATTTTTGGTGATATCTCAGTTCATATGGGCACAGGTATAAATTTAGATGAATATTAACGATAACGTGTAACATTACTTGGTCAATTGCAGTTTCACCTATTTCTACGTTTCACGCCCAATCCTTCATTTCATTTTTAAGTTTGTGCCTGGAAAATCTTAAGTGATTGCTAAATGGGCATTAAAGGCAAAGCAAGTGGACTTCAGTTAGGAGAATAAAACAGTTGCACAGATTTATTTTAAGAATGTTCCAAGAGTGTTTTAGTTTAGTTACAAATCGCAACATTCCTATGTTTGGTTCAAAGAAGTCGCAATAAAATCGTAACAGCTGTTTATTCAGAGTAATTAATTACGTGTTACAAGTAAAAGAGTACAAATAGAATGCCTTTGTGCTCCAACCAGCGACAAAAAACTGCATTTGCAAATACAATTACAAAAATTTTTTTTATCAATCAAGCACTTACTAAAAGCAACAAATTCTTTTGGTTAGTGCACATGTTAGAATTTCCAGATGGTTATTAAAATTCCATTAAAAACGTAGCCTAAAGAACTAATTTTAGAATATAACGAAAAGTAGTTAGTTATTCTTCTAGGGTAGTGATGTTATATTCCCGCATTTTTCCGTTAGTTACTTAGACAGTCATTACAAATACACAAGACTACATATCTATATTATAACAATTCGACCTTGAAAAGTATTCGTACAACATTATACTTTACTTGTACCAGTGTCGTTTCTATAAAGTTTCGTGAAAGTTGTTCATGTTACATCGTTATTAGAATTCCAATCATTTCTTTCTTTGAAAATTGAAAAAGCATAACGTCAATTTACCATTCCTCTTGTCCCCCGGTGGGGTTTGATTCCCCTCGGTGGACACGCAGATGGCCCTATGTGGCTTTGCTATAAGAAAAACACATACACCCATTCCTCTTCGGATTTAACGAAGCTTGACATTTCAGTGCAATAGCTGGCTCTAAAGAACACTGGTGATATATGATAATGATACTTCAGCAACACTGAACCCAAAACCTTTTAATAAACTTGGGTTTATATTTTGGTGTAATAATGTTAAAGTGGGGTTGAAAACGGTATATTTTATTTCTAACGAGTATTTGTCTTTTATGTATAACTTTAGGTAAAACAGAGAAAGCAGCAATGAAGCGTATTTATTAATTATTACCCCATCTTATCTAATCATATTAGTTTGCAACTACGTTTATGTTATTTACCACAAAACAGGCAGTAAAGTACCAGTGAAAATGATATACTGCTTAACCCTTAAATCATTAAGTCAGGACTTCAACCATCTGCGATGTCAGAGTTTCTTCTGAAACTCTAATAATTGTATTTTTTTTTCGCCCTTATGGATTACACTATTTTTTATATTGGTTAGACATATAACGTACAAAATGTCAGAAAATAAGTGTGTTTATACGGGTATTTAATTAAAGAACTATAATTTTTACTTTCAAAACAGATAATAAACGCAAAAGATCCAAGCACGTATATATCACTGCCATGTGAGTGAAATTATATTTTATAGCTACGCCTTGCATTCTTAGTGCTCCCAGGTGGCTAAGAGGGAAGATTGAGTGTTTATAATGCTAAACTTCTGGATTCGATCTCTGTGATGGGTACAGTATAGATATTCCACTGTGTGCTTAAACAAACAAAACAAATACCAGCTTAGCGCCCTTAAAATTGTCGAGCTAATTCCATAATCTTTTAAATAATATATTCTCATATTTAATGTGTTGGGCTCATAGTTTTTCACCACTACTGCTTTTAATATCTTTTGTCTTTTTTGATATGATAACTTCCAGTACTATTCAGTTATCTCAGTATAAACTGTTTTAAGTTTTCTCTATATAGAAGCCTCTATGGATTTATAGAGAACATTTTGTAAATAATAATAACATCTTATTAACCGATATTTATTCGAAATAATAATGTCTTTGGAATAAATAAATAGGCACACACTTATCGTCATAAAATCCTAATAAACTGAAGTTTTGAAAGCTTCCTCTATTTTTTTCTATCTCTAGATTTCTGAGCTAGTAAAATATATAAGGTACCGACTTTCGCTGTGTTTTAAACATGTAGTTTAGAGAAGCCTATTAATTCTTCATGTTTCAAGACACATATTCTTGCTCTAAGTATAAAAAAAGCACCAACTATAGAATTTATTTTTCAACTGTAGAAAAGTTATTTGAATTTTATCAAAAAGCTTTTCAACTTTAATACTAGAAATATTTGTAACAACCACAAAGATAGAGGTGAGCTCCAGTTTTTAAAATATAACAAAGTTTCATTTGATTTTTCACAATCATGAAGTTCTGGTCAAAGTATGGCTTCTGTAGCAGTAGGAAAGCACTTAGCTCCAGCCATTCCTTTGAAATTAAAGATACGATCATATTCCATGACATTGGCATCTGTTTTTATTGAAGATTATGATACCATTTTGTCATATTTCTTCAAAAATTTGTCCTGTATTGACACAAGTTTACGTAGATGAGAACACTGACATCCACTATAGTTAAGCGCCACTGCTAATGGCTAAAAACTATTTGCATGATAAGCAAAATATACATTTTACAATGGTATACTGAAGTGCCAGGTAATTGTTTTGACATTGCTTCCTACTTAAGTTTTTCTAATGTTAAATATGGTTTTAGTGAAAAATTGGAATTATCTTATAACACATTCATATATTTAGGGTCTCTTCTCGACATAACCTGAGATTATAAAATGCATAAATAATTTTACATTAGTTCAATATTTTTTTTAGAAACAGTTATATGTTATCGGAATTAATCTCCATTGTAAGGATCTGGGGTGGTAATGTCATTATGTGCTACAAAAGAAAGCTTTATTTAAATAAGGAAGAAATTTTCAGAGAATATCTTTTGAGCTTTCATATTTGAATAAAAAAAACATTTCGTAAAACTTAATAATAATAAAGAAATGTATCGATAAAAGCATATGTTAAATATATGCATTTGTAAATAACTTTGTAACTTTTAATATGAATTTCTCCCTTTTGACTGGATTTGTTAATTCAAAGGTAATGTAATCTGAAATGTTTACATAATTCTTGTTATGCAAGTACACATTTTTACAGCAGTAATTTTAAATCATCAATTTATATGGTACCGAATCGCATTTAAAGAATTGAAAAACATATTTGAGCCAATATGTAATGGTATTTAGAACAATATATAATTTAACATTTAAGATGCCATGTCTTAAAATTGAAGTTGTCCTGCTTAACTTGCTAAAAAGGAGCGATAAGCTCTTTATTAAGTAGCCTTTTGTAAATTGCAATGACTTGTTTATTTATTTGTAAAACACTTTATAGTTTCAGCGAAATTGTTATGTACAACATTTATTATAATTTTGTAAAAGAAAAACTTTCACAACAACAAACTATAAATATTGTTTTACATTGTTCAGGAAAAAAAATATTAAAAATAATAGGCCTCAATTCTTATTTAGGCTTCCATTTTGTGAGCAAACTTATGACAAAAAAATAAATAACGTTAATTAAATCCAATAAAGCATTTTATTTTATCTGAATATTTTAATGTTAAGTGGCGAGATCACGAACAAGCGACTACCACTTTTATGACAGAAAACACCCATTTAGACATACGTTTCAGGAGATCTATTAGCTAATAATCTTGCAGGAGTTAGTCAGTTACTGGACGAGACAATAAACAACGTATCTACAAAATAACTATTTTCGTATGATATCAACTAGTATATAATTCTAATTCTACCCGTGTGTGTTTGGCACAAGACTCGTGGTATTTTAGTTATAATCCAAACTTGTGCATTTTCCGCCTACACTGGTTTGAGAATCCCATATGAGCAGAAAGTACGACCCACGACAGCTTTAACCGGAGGACTGTCTTTGCGATATATGATTTCTACAGCAACTACAGCAGCAAACAAAACACACGCCACTAGCATCTAATGCCTATAATCTAGTTGACGATTTTTGCAAATGTGACATTGGAAGTGGTGTTCTGGCATCTCTAATGAATTTTCTTGACGTCTGTTTCCTGCAAAAAGGATTTCACTTCCACGACTCAAGATAATATGAGTAGCTTCCAAAAACTTTTTTTTTTCGTTTCTAATTACACCGGAATATCGTAGGAATTGTTCTTTCTCACGAATGGCTGATCTCCATGCACCAAATAGACCATCTTGGAACCTCGCATTCTTACCATAGGGGAGGCAGAAGGTGGTGGGGGCGGTGGAGGAATGCTATGGAAGTCAGGGTCTATAACGGAACCCATCGGTGTAGGTGACGTGGAAGGCGTGTCCTTGTGTTGCAAGGCTCGAGGTGGGGGTGGCGGCGGTAGAGGATCAATATGAGAACTGATGGACGCAATAGCTCCATGGAGAGGAAAACCTCCAGAATATCCCAGCATCCCTTTTTCTATGGTAAAAGCTTCCATGCCATTGGCTTTGAGTCGTTTTTGAGCACGTAGTGTTGCACGAAGCGTCTTACGTTTCTACGTAAAGAAAAACACGTGTGATGAAAGTAACTCGTAACGTTTGAAATTATATTTGAAAATGGATGTTTTTAGCTGAAAGAAGCAAATAATATTTAATTCATTTATCTTTTATTAAAAGTATATCGAGAATTAATAACCTGAAAAGTTCATATAACAAAAAAGTGTTAGGAACTTATTACAAAATATATGAGCCATACTTTTTTAATTTTGTAACAGACTAATATAGAGTACTATACTAGACCACTCTATTAAGGCTTGGGACTTATCACAGATTGTTGTTTACATGTAGTTATACGGTGGGTAATTGTCATCGCAGCTGCCGAGGCACTTATGCGCTCGGACGTCCTATACAGTGAGCGACTAATATAGAGTACTATACTAGACCACTCTATTAAGGCTTGGGACTTATCACAGATTGTTGTTTACATGTAGTTATACGGTGGGTAATTGTCATCGCAACTGCTGAGGCGCTTATGCGCTCGGACGCCCTATACAGTGAGCGACTAATATAGAGTACTATACTAGACCACTCTATTAAGGCTTGGGACTTATCACAGATTGTTGTTTACATGTAGTTATACGGTGGGTAATTGTCATCGCAGCTGCCGAGGCACTTATGCGCTCGGACGTCCTATACAGTGAGCGACTAATATAGAGTACTATACTAGACCACTCTATTAAGGCTTGGGACTTATCACAGATTGTTGTTTACATGTAGTTATACGGTGAGTAATTGTCATCGCAGCTGCTGAGGCACTTATGCGCTCGGACGTCCTATACAGTGAGCACTTTGTAGCTGATCCATCGCTTGTAGAGTGAAAAAACCACAAAACAAGACATAGTTTTAATTGTATTCTATATTTATGGCAAAGATATAAAAGCTATCTGCTGCCGTCTCTAATTTTAAACTACTGAACAAACAGAAGTGGGCCAGTGAACAGCACTCTACTACCTAACATCCATGTTAATTGATTGGCTGTCACTCTTATGACACAACCACAAATTACGAAATCCAGAGCTCTACAACAAGGTCAACCCATGCAAAAAAAAACAAAAAAAAAAACAACAACAACAGGCTTTACTACATCGGCTGCAATCAAAATGGTGGCATTCATGAGCGGCAAAAAAATTAGGAAGAAACGATATTTCATCCATTGATAGTATTTTATATCATGTTTTTCATATACTTAAGAACTAGAACGAATAATCTATCCAAAAATTTAAATTTTTCTACACTTAAGCTCAAATTTAATTATCTGATTAATAGCATCTGGCTTTACTTGAAGTTCATCTACAAGTGTGTTCTACAAAATTTATTTTCGTTCGCCATTTTCGAAGCCCCCTATGTAGAAAGATTTGAGCTGTTGTTTCAATTTACATGCTTACGTAGCGTGTAGTGACTATAAGCTTTTGTGGTCGCAGTTACAGCACTGAACCCGCCCAGTGAAATAACATAAATCTGTGCAAATATTCATAGTAACGAAATACTAATACACGTACTCTTAGTAACAGAATATACTAATACATTTATTCTTAATAACAAAATATACAAATACACGTATTTTTATTAACGATATATACGAATACAAGTATTATTAATAACAACATATACGTATTCGCACTAAACGCATACACTCATGCAAGCATTCATAGTACGACATCATACCATACATCTTAATTATGTAAGCACATTATTTTTACTCTAATTAAATTGCCACGAATGTTGTTTGTGTCCAAGAACTATTCAAAAGTTTTCTCTAAGCCTAACTGTGGCGTAGTTACCATGGGTGCTTGTATGCTCAAGCATCTACATCATTTTCGCAATTTTTTAAAGATATGTAATGTATAAACATAAAATATAAAGAAATATAAAATTAATGTCTTCCCATTCATTCAATCAAATTCTATTTCAACATATTACTGGTTTTAACGATTTGCCCCGAGACCCCTCCCCCTCCTCCATAAGGTCTTCGCATGTATGCATCCACATACATTTGATGCTGGCTACGCCATAGTCTGAATTATTGAAAAAGGCACTGAAAATTATAAATTTTATTTTCTGAAAAACAAACAGGAAAAGAACTATGGTAAATATTAAGAATGTTTAAATACTTATAAACGTTAGTTATTGTACAGTGGTACCTATCTTAAGATTTTCAGTCCTGTCGTAATTTTCATGAAAGTTGAGTTTGATTCAATTCCACAATAAGGCTAAACAAAAAACACTTAATGTAAGTAATTTGTCTAACATTGTATGAAATGGTAAATACCATAAATTAATAACTTTTAAAACTGTTATTTTAGAAGATTTCTACAAGAACTAAAAGATCACTGAGAAAGGTGCAAAACCGAAACACTAAAAAAAAACATGTTTTTATCTCAAACTGTAGATAACGAGAAAAACGTGTGATCGGATTTTGCTTAACATACAGCTCATCCACTACAAACTATTCTAAATTCAGGTTTGAAGGTTCTACATCTTAAAATTTAATTAAAATATTCTAGTGCTGATTCTCATTAAATTATTTTCGTAATTTGTAACCTATCTCTGAAACGAGTATGGTTTACTTATATCTATTCTTATAAGAAATTGGTATTTTCTGTATATAATATCCGCTTCACAAGCACGTTCAGTGGTTGTTGTTTGTGTTTGGACAAACAGGTGGCAGTGACAGTCTTCGGAAATGCATACACGTTTTTCACGACCCAATTTAACAGCCTCAAAAGCTTTTATTACCAGTGTGCGTAGGTACTGATCTAATCAACAAAATTATTTTTGTTCAGTCCTAGAAAGCATGTCGAAATTAAAATTTTTAATCAAGAGTTGAGACAGGGGATCAGGATGACCTCTTTTTCTAGAACAATAAAAAGAAAAACAGACAAGTACACAGACATTGTTAGTCAGTTTGTAAAGTTCTGTAACAAGAAATAATTATTGTAATACCAGTAATGAAAACTGAAACGGTATATCCCTTATTATTATTGCCTTTAAAAGAATTTGACATATATATATATATATTATTAATTAACGTATTCATAAGGAATTGCATGTATCATTACAAATACGCCTATATATATTCTAATCCAAGAGATCCCCACCTCATATCCAAATCCTGTATCCAAAATGGCAAAGGTTTTAAGAGCGTGAGTACGAATAATTTTGTTATTATAAAAGTTGTATTTTTGTACAAAGTGTCTCCACTTATTTGTTTGTTTCGTTAATTATCGTAGTGTTGTTAGATGATAAACGAATTTTAAACTGCCTCCTACTATATCTATAAAAGACTAACAGATTTTATGGACTGATAACAGGAACGTAATAACATTTTAGTATCGTGGATTATGTATTTGAGTATTTTTTAAACTCTTAACACATCTATCAGTCAACGGTGAACGTATTTTTTAAAGTTGGCAAACTAAAAATAGTCGAAACATAGGTCATATAATCTTCCAGTTGATACATCACATAAATTCAATGATGACTGTACACATTGACATCACAATAACGTTAGCTAACCATGCCTAAATGACTTTTAAACCTTGAATTTAAGAGCAGAAAGATAATTACAAATAATCTAATAACGCTAGGTCAGATCATTTTGCCAAAAAATTAAAAAAATATATGTGCAAACAGTTTACCCTTTTTACATGCACTTTATTTGACGTGTATCAAGCGTGTATAAACTTATTTGTTCAGAACAGAGCTTTTCATGTTAAATAACAAAAGTTTTTTTAAAAAACAAACAAACAGGAGGGAATCCTCAATAGCCGCGGCACTTGAAATTCTTTTAAACAGGATTAGAGTAAATTAATCTATGAGACCCTTTTTTCCTTTTTATTACCTACATTTCTGTGCACCAGCAATACCAAGCATGGGGCACATGTATACTCGATTCAATTTTATTACTGATCAGAATCTTTACCAGCGTACCCTTAACTTGAAATTATCTCCCCTTTGACACTTCTTTACAATTACAACTGTCAAAAAGCATTCACTTCGGTTGCTGTATTTTCTTGTGCTCAATGAAATGACAAGGAATGGTGGGATCCAGTGGAAAAATCCCCGCGGTTACTTAACGAACCTGAGCTCTCTATTGCATTGGATGCATCCATTACATCGAAACCCAAACATTTTTGCCAGTATTTTTAGGAAAATTGCCGTTGAAATTTTTCAACAGAAATCTTCTTGTTGAAACTACAAATAACGATTGAATTGCACACAAACTGTTGTTTAAGCACATTATTTTTACTCTAATTAAATTGCCGCGAATGTGATTTGTGCCCAAGAACTATTCAAAAGTTTTCTCTAAGCCTAACAGTGGCGTAGCTACCATGGATGCTTGTATGCTCAAGAATCTACATCATTTTCGCAATTTTTTAAAGATATGTAATATATATGTAATGTATAAACATAAAATATAAAGAAATATAAAATTAATGTCTTCCCGTTCATTCAATCAAATTTTATTTCAACATATTACTGGTTTTAACGATTTGCCCCCCATACCCCCCCCCCCCTTCTCCATAAGGTCTTCGCGATAGTAATTGTAAAGGAAGGAAGGAGATGTGGTGAAGAGTTAGGCATAGTTTATTTTCCTTAGGAGTTTTCTATGTACGGAATGTTTTTTTTTTTTCATTGCATTTATGTGTCAAAAAAAAGTATTTTTTGAGAAATTTTGTGAGGCGTGATTACTTATGTTGTCTTAACTTCTATAAAATTCGCACAAAGAGAAGTTAGGTGGAATAAAAATAAATATTTTGATCATACGTAAAGAGAACGTTCATTTTGAGGTAAGCTACTGTTAACAGAAATAAACAAATATATTTATAAGTCACCATAAAATGATAAGGCGTCAGTATGGTTGTACAATGGAAAGACTAATTTATACAAATGAATTTAAATAGGCTTAAGTCACTCACGAAGACTTAAGCTTCACACGAATTCTAATAAGTTTTTCAGAAGAAAAACAAAAACTGATAACGTTATTTTTTCTTTTCTGAAAACCTTAGGTACCGTTCAGTATTATTATTTTACAATTTTCATTGAACTCCTTAATTACAATAACATTTTACATTTATTAATGTTCAAAAACATAACCCTTTAATTTAAAACTACTTGTATATCATATTTAATGTATTGTAGGAAATGCACATGATGCAGATAATTGTGTACAGGTAGTTGCTTGTTAATTGATTTTAAGATGATTTTTATGATATAAAATATACCCTAATTTCAAATATTTGCAAGATATCAGCTGCAGAAGTACAGTAACATAAGTCAATCATTAAACATGTTTTTCAACATTAAAAAGTGTTTATTCTATCAACATTTGCATTACAAAATCTCTTTTCCCCCCAATGGCACAGTGGTATGTCTGCGGACTTATACTGCTAGAAACCGGGTTTCGATACCCGTGGTGGGCAGAACACAGATAACCCTTTGTGTAGCTTTGTGCTTAATAACAACAACAACAAAATCTCTTAATCCTTTTTTTAAATCGGGTAATTATTTATACTGTATCTTAATTGAGTGAGGTAATATTTAAATAAAGTATTTTAGTATCTATGAAAAGTGTTAGTAATACAAATATATTAACAGCTATGAAATTGAGCGTACTATTTGCCAAAACCTATTGATATTAAGATTATTCTAAACTTAAACTTAATTTAATTCTTTTATAGATTTTTTTTGGCTGGTTTCTGTATTGTCTAGACCTCGGTGGGTCAGCAGTAAGTTTCCGAACGTACAATGCAAAAGTCCGGGGTTCGATTCCTGTGGTGAACAAAATACACATAGCCCATTGTGTAGCTTTGCACCAAGAAAACATAATCTGTATTGTCTAATACTTGAAAATATCCACCGATGATTTAACGGCAAGCCTGAAGGCTTATAACGCTAAAAACTGCGTTTCAATGCCATTCAGAGAATAGTTTTCTACCGATTTGCATAAAAACACGCTGATTCATCAAGCTAATAAAACCACAGCTTAACTTAATTCAACGGCCATTCTCTTAGCAATACTTCACATAAATCTGCGTTGGAGAGTGAATTTCGCTGTTTTTAAATGTGTTTAGAACATTCCAGATACAGCAAGAACTGACAATTACAATCGTGTAAGGTTCTTAAAATAAGAAATTAATAAAAAGATGTAATAAACCCATAGTTGGTTGTTTACCTTTATGTTTTTATGAAAAAGTGAAATATGCCGATTTTAAAAAGTTGATGGTATCCATTCTTTATTTCGCGCTGGTATATAAAAATGTTAATGTTCACTATATTTTAAAACTGTTAAGTTTTACTGAAAATCTTTCTACATTTGAAATTTTATCTCGTGTTGTGGGAGTTGCTGGTAGGTCACTCAATCTGCTACATACAGTCACAGTTGTAAGAGTTGATGCTAGGTCACTCAATCTGCTACATACAGTCACAGTTGTAAGGATTGATGTTAGGTCACTCAATCTGTTATATACAGTCACAGGTGTAAGGATTGATGTTGAGCCACTCAATCTGTTGTATACAGCCACAGTTATAAGGGTGGATGTTAGGTCACTCAATGTGTTATATACAGTCACAGGTGTAAGGATTGATGTTGGGCCACTCAATCTGTTGTATACAGCCACAGTTGTAAGGGTGGATGTTGGGCGACTCAATTTGTTGTATACAGCCACAGTTGTAAGGATTGATGTTGGGCCACTCAATCTGTTGTATACAGCCACAGTTGTAAGAGTGGATGTTGGGCCACTCAATTTGTTGTATACAGCCACAGTTGTAAGAGTGGATGTTAGATCACTCAATGTGTTATATACAGACACAGTTGTAAGGGTGAATGTTAGGTCACCCAATCTCCTATGTTAAGTCACAGTTGTAAAGGTTGATGTTAGGTCACTCCATCTACTGTATACAGTCACAGTTGTAAGGGTTAATGTTAGGTCACTCAATCAGTTATATACAATCGCAGTTTTAAGGGTTTATGTTAGGTCCTCAATCTGCTATATAAAGTCACAGTTGTAAGGGTTAATATTAAGTTTCACTGCCAGAGGGCAGACTAATAGTTTTCTATATCAAAGCATGTTGTGCGTGTTCTTATGAAAAAAACGTTATATGCACCATTATAGAATCTCTCATATACTATACATTAACGAGTGTAATACGAACAAATTTTGTGTTATGAAGTTATATATATCAGTAATTCAGTCTGAACTTCTTAAAGTTGTTTCTTAAGCCTATCATAAATAAGGATCGGTTGTTTTTTGTTTTTCTTTTATAAATGGTGGACTCATAACTTAAATATTTTTACCCAGTTAACGCGATTTTGATATGAAAATTAAAAATACTTGATTTTCATAAACACATATAATCTCTCTCTCTGGAGAAGAAGCCGATAAAAATAGGACGCAACTCAGGGAATACAGATATTTTTGTTTTGGTACTAAAATTGATTTCACAAGAAATCACTTTCGCATTATCTGCAATACTCTTCACTCTCCAAGACTCGACTCAGTCTTTATAGTAGATACATTCTTTACGTAATTATAGATATTTAGGCCGATAATATCGTTAACAGCGAGGTCACCAATTGAAACAATACATTCTAATCAAGAACGTAACAAAAGTGTACTTAATTAGCTATACCCATTATCAGGTTGATTTTTAGTTTCGCTCTAAGTAGGTAGTTTACTTAGATCGGAATTAATATTAATTACCAAACATTTTGATCGAAAGTATAACTTACCAATCTTACTAAACTATAGTCTTTCCTTTACGTTATTATAGATATTACTTAGCGATCTGATTGAAAGCATAACTTATCTAACCTATCTCAAAAGCATGTATATGTCACATCACGTCACGCTTAATTTCTCGAAATAGGAGGAGTCATAAAAGACAAAATGTATTTATCCAGATAGAATAATTCGATCACTGTCTGCCCATTACAATTTTTGTGACGGAGGTGTAAGGGAGCCGTGAGGGGGGGGGGGTCGCGGTGAAACCTTATAAGTATAGTGAGTGTTGATATAATATGCCTAAAGTAAAGACGAAGAGTGAGATCACCTAGCCCAGAGCCAAGTCCATAAAATTTATATTGAGTTTTAAATTTAAATCGTTTCTGAATTAAGTTCAATTTTAAACTTAACTCGTTTCTGAAGTAAGCTATTTTCTGTTATATCACCAACGTTTTTAATAGAAAACGAACCTCTTTAATCAACTGAGACTCTAAATTAAGAAATCAACAAATATTTTCCCATAATTGAATAGAGTTGTTTGAACATTTGTTTAACAACAAGTAAAAGCTTGAAATGGTCTATTCTTTCATTGGGTGTGTGTCTGTGAGCCAGACTAGTTTCGGTTTCTTTTTTGTGAGTGTAAAACACTTAAATACACCATTTCGATTAAATTGTTTACCAGTTTTGTTGTCTATACATTTCATTTTATGCTTTCAGTACATAGACTAAAAACAATATTAGGTTATACTTTTGTTGCTAAACAACATGACATAAAAACCAAAATGCACTGGCTTTTCTATGTATTTTATTAGAAGTTGTTAATCTAACTGATTTTTACCAATAATTATTCTATGAATACACCATGAATTCATTTCATGAATGATCTTAATTTTGATTGGCTCACAAAGGAATTTACCGACGTTTGACTGCCTCGACTGCACTTTTCTGCTTCTTTGTTGGTCATGCTTTATTTAGGTTAGCCATGAAATGGGAAGTTAGGGTATACTATGGGGGTGGGGGTGGTAGTACTTGCCCCGTCATTTTTGACTGGTCAGTCTTATCAATTTACAGTCCTTTCCTTTATGTTATTACAAATATTAGTTGGCGATTTAATCGAGAGTATAACTTATCACTCTTTCTAAAGCATATTATCATAAAACACATACATTTTCCTATTGTGTATCCCACCAGATGCTCCCTAACAGTTTAGGAGCATAATTTACCTCTACAGTCCCTCTCCACTTGTCAGCAGCATGGCGAGCTAATTCCATTCTGCGCTGTTTGCGAGTCTGATGCTTTTTGTAAATTATCTCGATGATGATGAGACCTATTCCTCCAACTATTCCTGCGCCAACTAAAATAAAAACACCTAGAAATAAAAGAATCAAATTATTTTAAGGGCAACAGTACAACACCTATTTATATGATGAATGGTAAGAACATCTTCATCTTTATACAGTACACAACGTTCGACAAATGCAACATCCCTTTGCTGAACAATGAGGCGATCCCTTCCTGGAGCGACTGGTGTACGTATTATCGAGCATTTGTCTCCCATATGTACCTCTTAGCATCAATCTTAACCATATAATGTCGACTGTAAAGTTTGTTGGGCATGTAATATTTTAATGAAACAAGCTTGCTTGAACAAAAATTACTTACAAAGTTAGTCAAACTACATTTTTATAACATTTGCAACTGAAATAATCTTCTACTTTCGTTACAATTTCTGCTTTGTTTCGTAGGATTGGTTGAATACGTTTTTCTAGAAATGTATTTAGTAAGTTCTTGTTAATCACGCTGGAACAAAATGATGCTACACAGTTTATGTGAGAATTTCAGTTTAAAATCACTATTAATATTTGCAATTTATTTATAAGTTTGCATATAAGAAGCACAGATACCACCCAAATGTATAAATTTCTTACACAAGGGATTCTCAGATTATCATGAATCATTAGGTTCTACAAAAGTTTTGTGTTGGTTTGATAAAAATCTCTCTTAATAGAATATCTCTAAACGTGTTTTATTGTTTCTTTTTTATTATAGATATTTTTTTTAGAAATTGTTTTAAATCTTAAACACAAACATTCAAAATACACGTATTCTGTTTACTTACCCGCCATGTTCTTTAAACCAAGAGTAGCAGGAAACTTCTCATGTTTATTGTCACATTTGTCATCTCCAGATAATATCCATTTGTTGTCTAAGTTCTCCATGTACCCACCTTAAACAAATAATGTGATGTAGTTACCCAGAAATCATTTGAAATGTGAAATTATGAAGACACAATCTGAGAACAAAATTAAAATTATATGCCATTATTAAAATGATAAGAAGATAACAGCTTTTGTCATTTAATTCGAAATGACGCAACTGCAATAATTACAGATAATAAAGATAAAAATTAGAACTGAGATGGAAAAATACGTTTCGTAATCGTAAGTTATTGAAAAAATTAAAAGAATATATTTGCGATGTTTGCAAATAACTGGCAGCACCAACTCCATCATGAAGTTTGTAGATTTAGTCAGTTTAATTTACTTTTCATTGAGCTATTACGTTTATAGTGTGCATGAAGAGGATTTAATGTATTTAAACTTAAAGATATTGGTCTGTATAATTCTTCTGGACTGTTGTTTAAATGTTATTTGAATTTACAAAAAAAAAAAAACTTTTACAGGTTGATATATATGTAACAGAACTGTTATATAGCGGTAAGTAATAATATTTCTTGTAAATTATTATTTTCATGTATGATACTCTTCAAAAACGTTGGGCTTACTTTCATGCATCTCTAACAAAGCTAGAGTAACCTGGTCAGCCCAGAAGCTGTTCTTCTGTAACCCTATACCATATCCAGAGCGGCCGAACTGTTCTCTTGCTGTTACCAAATCACAGTCTTGAGCAGCTTCATACTCCAGTCGAGAGGAATCCCAAATAAAAGCGTTGAGGTCTCTGTTTTTAAATCAAAGGAAAGGATTAATTGAGGTTACGTATTACGCAAATGTTCGTATATACATCTTTAGAACATTCCATTTTAAATGTGCGATTAAAGTATGAGGAACTATTTACCTTAATACTGAAACGGATGAAAATGGAAGTTAAACATAATTTTCCATATTAAATGTGATACGCTTCATGTAATTTCTTTTAACAGTTGTAATATACTTTTATTACAAAGCCGAAATATTTCCGAACGCCCAACTTAACTCATTTCCCACTGCATTTAATTTACACAACTGCTATATTAAGAAGAAAGAGGGAGCAAAAAAAGTATTACTAATAGTTAACACAGCTATACGTCTGATTCCATGCACTGTTGATAGAAGCATGCAATTTTCGACATAAATCTAGTAAAACTCTCATATTTATGAATCGTATAGTTATCAATCAATAAATCTTCACACATTCTCTGTTAATGATTCAGTTGGGATTCAGGTGATAATCCACCTGTTTGAATAGCAGCTACAGCCCATCGTTTCAAATCGTCAAGACTTGCAACCATAGTCTTGTAGAAGGTGTCTTTAACATATCCTCACAGAAAATAAATAAACAACAAAGATGCCGAGCCAAGTGACTGGAGATATAGGCGTGTAAAGTCTTATGAAACATTTATAGACAACCTGAACTGACATTTTTTGTGTCTCGATGATAATGTTCATTGTTTTGTAATATGACAAAACCACTTTTCCTATTAAAGTTTTATAAATTCATTATTCAATTATATTATTGTAAAACTAATTGAAGTACCAGTCCACTGGACGTAAGTTATGTAAATTCATGATTAACGAAAGGTTATCTTAGGAAATGAAAAGTTGCTTCCCTTATATGTAATTGTAAATAACCCCAAAACGCCATAAAAAACGCAAAACTGAAAATTTGTATGTACCCCTGCATGGACCTAATGAACCTCCATACCAATTTTGGTAAAGATCCATCCACACCCTGCGAAATAGTTACATGGACAGACAACAGACAGTATTATTATATTCATATAGATATATAAATGTGAATACTTTCATAGCAGCCTAACACACCATAATTCTATCGTTTTTATTTCAACACTTACTTTTTGTAACATAACGTTAGCATTGAGAAACCACACAGATAAGACAATATTAAACGTAAAGTGTCTAGAAATTTTCTGTAAATTTCTAACAAGAAAATCATTATTTTCAAAGAGACACATTTCGATCTACTGCACATTGCTAAACTAAAGCATTTTGATCTGTCAGTTTCAATTACTTTCTATCGTTAGTAACTCTGTAGGCCTTGCATTCTTTCCTTAGCTAAGTATATCTCATTTTACAATATTTATGAGATCACTCTCAGGACAGTAATGGATGTCAAAATGATTTTAGCTTGAATATAAAGTTTGCTTTCTGGAGATTTCTTCTCAAATATGATACACAGCTTATCTGTGAACTTGTAAATGTTTCAAATCACGGTAAATTATAAGTACTCCGTCAGGTTCACAAGAATGTTTATTATTTTCTAGTGCAAAGCTACACAATGGGCTACATGCGCTTTATTCAACGTAGGGAATCGAACCCCGGATTTCGAGTTGTAATTTAGTAAACTTGCCGTTGACCCACCGCAGGATCCACAGGAATGTTTGCGATTATAAATCAATTTTTTTTTTTTTGAGGAAGTAAATTTTTTCATGGCTAAAATTGTCTTAATGAGATATTATCAGTACTTATACCATAAGCTATCAAACTGTTTAAGATTATCAATAGAATGTATCTAAAAAGTGTTTAAATGTAGAGATTAAAGTGATAAATTTTGATGTAAAACCAATTTAAAATTAAGCCGCATACAGTTTAGGTTAAAGTCATATCTACCCGTTAATACAATAATTATTTGTAAAAGTGTAAAATTTACCCAGATTTGACAGCAGCAATGGCTTCTTCCACTGTGTCATAGTTCTTTCCTTCCATGGTTCGGTACATGTTAGAAAGCTCCACCTGTCGTCGAAAGTACATGTCGACTGCACTTCCTTTTACTGTGGCGTAAGTAAAGTTTTCTAGCGGGTTACGTAGCTATACATAAGAAACAATCACACAATCACTGTCTAGTTCATGTAAAGTTTCAAACAAACATCATGATTTTTACATCTAATAAACAAAGCACTTTTATTTAGGAATCGAAAAAAAGGTAAATATGATTTAATCGTCTTGCTAAAATAATGTAGGCTCACTGATTGAAATATGACAATGTTCTGCTTAGGAAGCCCCCCCCCCCCCAGTGGCACAGCGGTATGTCTGCGGACTTATAACGCTAGAAACCGGGTTTCGATACCCATGGCGGGCAGACCACAGATAGCCCTTGTGCAGTTTTGTGCATAATTAAAAACAAACAAAGCTTAGGAAGGATATATTCAAATATTATGATTATTCGTTGATCCCAAAAAAGTAGGCCCGGCATGGCCAGGTGGTTAAGGCACTCGACTCGCAGTCTGTGGGTCGCGGGTTCGAATCCCCATTCCACCAAACATGCTTGCCCTCTCAACCGTGGGGTGCTATAATGTGACGGTCAATCCGTAAAAGAATAGTAAAATTGGTAAAAGAATAGCCCAAGTGTTGGCGGTGGGTGGTGGTGATTAGCTGCCTCCCCTCTAGTTTTACATTGCAAAATTAGGGACTGCTAGCGCAGATAGCCCTCCTGTAGCTTTGCGCGAAATTCAAAAACAAACCAAAAAAGTATTAACTGAAAAAGTATATGTCGAGTAACATTCTCTACTGAAACTCGTGATAATGCGGGTAATTTAAAATATGTCGACAAGCAGGATGCGATGCACCGTCCACATGCAACTGTGATTCTTTGATAAACGTAAAACTATCGATACAAATTTCGAATATCAGATTTGTTCCTAAAACTGAAAATATTTATCAAATAACAACATTAACTATCTTTGATCTAAAATGTTTCAACTTTGGTCATTTGTAAGCTCACTTAAAGATGGCACTTCCCAAACTAAAAGACCAACAGAAACACAAAAATGAATGACATAACAAGTTCATACTATAAAACTTTACTATTTTTCTGTGTTAAAGATAAAATGGAAACGTTTGCTTACCCGAGCATCGTTAATCCCTGATAGAGATGTTTCTGGACGATCCAAGACGAGGAATGCAGCCAAGTTGGCAGTATAGGAAGCAACAACGATCATGGCGAATCCTGCCCATACCATTCCTAAGACTCTGGCACTAAAACTACGAGGAGTACCTGCAATATGTCAGAAATGCTAATGTCATACAGTTAGTTTTTCAACTACTTACGCGCTCACTCTAATGGGGGGAGTAAGTTAAACTATAAAAAAAAGGTTAAGATTCGATTAACAAATAAGCGGAACTCGAATTATTTGTGTACTGTACTGCTTCGCCGTACATTAATTGAATGTATTACTATAGCATTACAAATTACCTTCTCCAATGCCACTGTTGAGTAATACTCCCCATGCAAACCAGATGGCGCTGGAGAGATTTAAAGCATCCTCTTCCGTAGCTTCAGTATTGGGAAGTTTGTATCGGCCAAAAGGACTAAATCTGTCCAATAGGTACAATGCTAATGCAACAACATGGACGGAAACCATAACTAGTATCCAAAGTGTCTGTTCGAAAGGTTGAAGAAAAGATGCAAGAGTGGAGCTCTTCGGTTGCTGCAAAATAATTAGTATATTTTTAATGTATATATATGTATACAATTTTTCAAATAAACTGCATTACATCAAAAGCATACAGGTGATCACTCAGCACTGTATAGCCCTGACGAAATTATAATATAACCTACAATTTATTTATTGTGTAAGTAGATGTACGTGGCAACAAGTAAGTGAACGCACCAACAAAGTTCTAATATAACAATGTAAAATTATACCGTTTGCACAAAAGTACAAAATGTATCATTTTAAAGTGAATATGCTTGCAGTTATAGCTACCAAAAGCATTGGGAATATTCCGTCTATCAGACATAATCAAAACAACAGATGCAGAGCTAGTCAGCACGTAACCGAAAAAGAAAGGGGGAGATTAGGATATGGGTGCCAGAACCCACAACGTCCTAGATCCCACTATCACTCACTGTCTATAGCCGGTTGTGGGCATAATAGTTATCCCTAAAAAAAACAACATAAAAATAGAAATAGAAATCAGATATTAAAACACCCTTGATTTCTATCGAAGAACATAGATAGAATTTCGTTTATTCAACTAGAAAAATGTAACTTTGTGATTGAGGCAAAATGAACATTTGAATCTTACAATCTGCAAATACACTTGAAACTGGCAATGACAAAACGATTGTGAACAATATAGTACGTCAATCTATAAAATTGTTTGACAGTTATTTTTATAAAACATTTAATTAAAGAAATTAAATTTAAAACTATGATATTGTAAAACTTAAAGTATTATTCATCGAATAGACTGAACTATTGGGTAAGATTAAAATCTCTCTTTGTATTTTTAACTTTAATAGATAAAATAGGTATAAAAATTCACTTTACATCAACCAAAAAACTAGATCGTGTACAACGTACGTCTATTTATGCAGCTCAAGTAAAAGGATATATGTTCCTGTAAAAAAAAAAAACGTACTGTTCTGTGACATAAGAGTGCATTGATGAGAGACTAATCTATTAAAGTTTAAATATTTTAAATGATATGAAAGGAATAAATGCTATAATCTACAAATTTTCGAAATTGCCTAAAATCTCATAAATCATATTAAAATAGGAAACGTTTTTACCATTATTCTAAAGGTTTGTTTGTTTGGAATTAAGCACAAAGCTACACAATGGGCTATCT